TTAAAACCGTATTTTACCGAAGCAAACCGTTTCAAACAGGCACTAAATTTATCTTTTTTTCTACCCTATTCTTGTAAGTACGTAACAATCCGTATCCATTCCGTAGTGCATCCGTACTAACTCCGTATCAATTAACGATAATTAGATTTTCCGGTGTCAACCGTGGAAAATATTCCGTAGTAGAACCGTGGAGTTGATCCGTGAATGTGTGACTGGGGCATAACATCGTAAGAATGGATCTAAAATTAGACTGGATGAATAACAATGACATGTCTTAAAAATACAAGATCTCTATTTTCCATCTTCCTGTTTATTCTATATTATGGCACAAGTATAATATTTACAAAGGTTTAAAGCGTTTGAGCCCATCCGTGTAAGTAAAGAATATTTTTTAACGTGTTTGAACACAGTGTCCTACTTAGCACAAAACATGCTACCAATAAGTCACGTGACGGAATTTAGTATTCACAAAATTACCTGCAAAAATATCACGTGGTGAATTATAATATTCAACGTGTCACAGTCCTCGGTTACAACAGAGAGAGCGATTTTTTTTTCTCTTTTTAAACATGAGCGCATGTTTGTCTATACAGTAAATCTCCTTCTGACACAACATTACTTTTGCAAATATACAACTACTGTTAAACGAACAATAGACAAACATGCGCTGACTATATATGTATAAAGTCAGTAAAAAAGTGGGCGTCCTCATTATCGTACGGAGATTGAAGAAACTGTGGCGACTCCCCGCCTTAAAAAACAGATTCCTTCATCACAACTAGTACATACTTTATTTATTGTAAATAAGTAAAGTTGTAGGTTACATGTTGATCATTTCTGCAACTGTAAGAAAAATGTTTGTTTTAAAAGTTTATTTCGATGCAAATTTTGCATATCCTTAAGTGCAGTCATCCTTTGTCCACAATGCCTGGGTGGCAAATGACATTTTCCTGGATAAATAGAGAATAATACATGGCAAAATCTGAATCAACCCGAGACTCCAATATCTTGGTCGAGAGTTGATATATCTGATGTTATACAGATTTCGTCATGTATTGTTGTTTTTATTATTTATTTGAAAATAGTTTACAGTGTGACGTCGTGAAATGAATATGTTATATATGCCATACACATCATTTTGGTAAAGAAAGGTTAACTGATACCAATAAAACATCAGAATACTGAAGAGCACTTTATCTCTGCAACATCTTATTTTAGTGAGGCCTCTTTTTTTGGCATTAGTAAGCCAGATGAATTTTTGGGGCACTATGGTTTTTGCTGTATATACATTTAATCCTTGTTACTAATGGAAATATTCCCAAGCATTTAATTTTTGCGAGTAGGAAAACTCGTGTAATTACACAAAAAATAAAGCTCTCACAAAAACTGAAATAAAGAACAACCATAACACAGTGGTAAAATCAAGATATACAATGATTTATTCATTTCTTAAAATACTATAGAATTTTAAAAGCAAACACCAGTGGCAAAGTTAATCAAGTATAGATTTCTACCATAATCTGTACGGTGTCTATTGCTCGAAATATTGCTTACATATCATCCTTAACGTATAAAACACTGGGTAAAAGTCACTGTGAACCTTTTGTTCTTAATTACTTCTTCATTTTGATCAAATTCTTTGTATTAAACCCTTAAAGGACTTCTACCACTCTGTTCAATGCTTTCTCTGTTTTTATCTTCCATTAAAGGTTCGTTGGTATTTTGTGGTTTTTGTATATACTTAAAAAGTAGAAAAATTAAAATTAAAAAGAGCCTTTGGACTTTATAACTTTGATCAGTAAAATATACCCTGTTCAACTCTGTCCTATTCTTTAAAATGAAAATTTAGGATAAAAAATATCAGAAGTCCTTTATATGAATAATAGTGGTGCGTCTTATTTGTTCTTGAATGATCAAAAATTACCCATTTTGACTAAAAAAAGAAAAGATTTTTCACAGTGTATATAAATAGATCACCCTGCTCAAAAACACGGATCACATGACTATTTCCCATCACAACTTTCATCTGTCACAACTGTTTACAGGTCATTGTAACATAAACATGGATTTATAATCTTGATAGATCCACTGATATTGCTAAGTTCATACAACTAAATCAGTAAATGCCCATCTGCCCGGTGAGTTATCAGGGATTCAAACATAACAATACTGCTTGTACAGAGATCTTGCATAGGAGAAGGCTACTCACTTTTGGTTTGGCTTTTGGTAGAAGTAAAATTTTCAGAGATTTCTTTACTTAGTTTTGAAGAAAAAAGTTTAAAGTTTTAGACAGATCTGGGCTTCCTAAAGATCTAAAAGAATTGAAAATTACATTTTTTTTTTGTCAGATATAAAAAAATTTCATTCCATTGATTATAAGTCAATCCCAGAAAAAAAATTTGATCTACTTCTTTGGAGTACAAAAATAACTGGAGAATGACCAGCTAGTTACCAAAATAAAAAATTAAATTAAAAAAAATTGCAATAAAAAATGCATGGCAAAAGGCAATGCATAAATGAATATATTGTTATTTTAATCAGACCTTAAGATTCAGAATACCTTGTCTTTACCCCAAAATGACCTCTTATCTGGTTTTAAATAATTTAACAATAAGTCTGGTGTACAAGATAAAATAAAACACAACACCAGTAAAATGAGAACAGAGATTTGTGACACGGGATAAAACCTTGTAGTTCATTAATTTGTGATTTCTGACTGCACGAGAGAGCAGAGAATTTTGTTCAGGATAGAAGTGTTATATCGATGATTAAAGCGCAACTTTATATGACCTTTTCTCCTAGCACCATGGGGCATCATCATAAAAAACAGAAACATTCACAATATACAATATATAATATAACCACAGCCCTCAGTGATTGCATAATAACAAAAATTTAGACCAGTAAGACATTATAAAATACAATCATGACAAAAAAATGATAAAACAGAATCAACAGTTGTGTGTCCATGTAAGATCTCAAGTTTATATCTGAGTTGGTTAAACAATTCAATGCTATCATTTCAGCTCTAGGCAATGAACCAATGTCAACACAATCGGGGTAGATAAGGACTTATTCTAAAACATCTTTATACATGTGATGTTGATTTACCGAGCTAAAGCTTAAAGGGGGGGGGGGGGGGGGGCATTGCTAGTAAATATATTGGAGCACAAGATCAGGTCATCACAACTTATAAGATGCAAAGTTAATAATAGCTATCAAAACAACACAAAGTTAACATAAGGATCTGTACACAATGAACAATGGAAACATGATCTGTGGCCAGTACTGCCCACAATACATAGAATTTATAATATAATCATCAACTCTATTCCTGTTGTAGTAAGCTGCTCTCAATTTTGATTGGTCAACTGCACACCAAGGTTATGTCAAGGTCGCACTGGCTGCCCAGTAACGGTGTACACTCACACGAGATCTGAGCATGCTCACTACCACATTCCTTACAAAGCGAGAGAGGACAGACCTGAATTTCCTCTGTTGAAGGTTATTGCAGAAAATAAATAATTGTGCTTGAGTCCTCTCTCTTCAACAACCATGATTAATGAGGGCAATAAGAGGTCATACATAAATATGCTGCTTATAAATATCACTAGGACACGATGCCAACTTTGGTACATCACGAGTTAAAAAAGACAAATCTCCCCGGACTATTAATAGCGTAATCTCTCAACGAATATATCTTACTTGGACTAGTGAAGCATTTAAATAAATACATAGCAATCTCTGCCTCTTTTCTACAAAAATACTATAGACCTAACCCCACCCTCTGATTTTTAGGTTGTTAGGGTCATTGGATATCATAACTGTTGGTATTTCAGATAATGGTTACTGGCATGGCACGATATTGGACAATGATAAGTGATAGAAATTTTGAGATCCACTCCACACAATATTGAACATCTTGGAATCATAATGCACAATTGTAAGCAAATCTGTCAAGATATTTTTACCAACATACTGTATTATCTTCAATGGTTTTTCACCTAATTACATTGGACAAATTTTATTTCTACCAAATCAAAATATAATAGTTTACACATAAAAGGCTTCAATGAGTTCTGCTAAAATGGTGATCAGGGAATTTTATTGCATGGGTCCCTTACCTACTTATAACTGTAAATATCCCCAATACCCTGAGAGGGGTCAAACATTTGGCTTTGTTACTTTTCCAGTGGGAGTTGCATAGAACACAGTTCAGGATTTTCTTTTCAAAATATTTTAAAATCAGTTTAACAATAAAAATCTCCCTAACTATACAGAGTATGTTGAGCACTTCTTATATACAACAATTTGTCACGGTTCGGCAACTTTTGATAATTATTGTGCTTGGGAGCCCCGATTATTGCACACAGTTTGTAGTGGGAGAAGGATCAGCAGAGATATATTGGAGATTGTCAAAAACAGGAGAGAGGGCACTTCAGAATACTTATAAATAGCACCTACCACGCCTGCTGTAACTGTGGGACTGAGAGGGATGAAACACAACACCGAGAAACCAGCCAACCGTGATAATCACTGGGGCGTATCACAGGCAAGGCGGGCCGTCATCAATAAGTAGACAGTAGAATGCTGCGTCCCCATCCGTCTGGAAGGCTCATTGATATGGTTACAACATCACCATGACGACATGATATGCTCATTACACAACATGACTAGACTAATTATGCAGGGTCATAAGGTCACAGGGGGTTTTACTTGACTGGAATCTCCCCAAGTCATAAAAAACAGACTCATAATAAAACAATGTTACAGAGAAATAAATAGGTCACCTGTACACAACGGGACTACGAAAAAGGAAATAAAGTGATAGCAAATAAAAAGGACTGGGTTAACTCCCTTGGTAGGTGGTAATTTTAGTTGACTATATATTGGTGGACCTCTCCTTTGGTGGGACTATAAAATAAACTATGGCAAGTTAAAAACATAAATAAACACTGAGCTATTACAACAAATGATATGCTAAGCTAATGGGGAGTAGGAGTATTGTGCCAAAAATGGGATTACACCCAAAATACATGGAATGACTAAAATGTAGATATGCTTCGTATGAAATGGCATCTTTCGTCAACAAAGTTTGTCTGAGAGATTTCTCAGTTATGGCAGAAATATCTATTTTGAGCCTTTAAGCACCACATGCATCTTTGCTGGCAACAAAAAGCTGCTAGTATCAGGTCAAAGATGCTTCATTTTGTTAAAAAATCATAGACACAGTGGAATGTACGCTCTACCAAGTCAGAATGGTTTCTTGTTAAAAAAAAAAAATAAAAGCACAATTCTATAAAATAAATACAGTTAATACCCCATAGTCATCCTAACAAAAGTCAAATCTAATCACTACCTGCCCTAAACACAAAACCTCCCTCTAAAAATCAGGGAAGTCTACCTCCCTATGTTAGGGAAGGATACACAAAATTGTCTCCCTTTTCCTGGACACATGTCAATGTTCAGGTCAAGGTCATGTTGTGTTGGTTCCCAGATCAGGCGAAGTACATGACCTTAGTTGTGTCTGGATGCACGGTCACGGCGCGGGCCATGGCTGTGGGGGTCCTATCCTCGCTGTTATCAGAGTGACGGCTTCCCTCTCCACTGTAATAACAAAGCAACAGTTTTAAAATTTCCTACATTTTTTTTTACTTATAAATTGATATTTTTCAATTAAAATTCAGTAATAATAAGCATTCATAACTCTTTACTCATAAAGTTTATACGGCAACTTTTATTTAAAAGCTCTGTAATACATCAAATTTGCACACACTCAAAATTCATCATATTTGAACAAAATATATTGGGAGTTGCTGATTGTAAAGAATACTCTATCTAACTTCAAACTTGTAGATACAATTACAACCATTTAGTTATTTAAACTAAATGACATCAAAACTACAGCGCGTATCCCATCATTCCTACCTGTCGTGTTCCTTTTCCACCAGGTGATAGCGAGCCCGGAATGCCACTAGATGTGCGTAATACGCGGGGGCGGGTATAGAGACACTGCGTGTACAGCGTACGTAGGTGTGACACAGCTGATATGTCAGGGTCTGTAGCTCATCAGCATTAAATCTGTTGTCATCCCACAGCACGTGGTAATGGGAGGGACGACTAGTACCCTGTAACACACAGCATTGTCATCTTCTTATAGAACTTACATTAAAATAAACAAGATACGAGCCATACAGTCAAATCTCACAAAAAGCACTTACAGCAAAAATATATTTAACTTGATAATGGCTACTCCATCCCCTTGTTAAAAAGATTATTGAGTTTAAAACATCAGACTCCATAACATGTGTAAGTAAGTTTCCTTTTCTCCAATTTTTTTTTTGTCAATTCAAAGGTATGTTAAAAAGAGTGCTACATGTATATACCGAAATCCATATACGTTTCATATCACCCCTATTAGCCTTATGAGTCAGAATTATACCTGTATTCCAGCATGACTACAGAGGTAGAAGTCGAATTCTGTTGGATGAGTGATTCCCACATCTACAGTGGTGCCTGCTGGGATATTTCCACTCCGACCAATCTGGTCCTTACGATCGGCACAGAACAGTCGGGTGTGGTGGCGTTTCTGTACGACGATAAACGTGATCCCCGGCTGGTATCCCAGCTCCAGCTTCATACAGGCTTCTCGTAAAGCTCGGAGCTCATGCTGCAAAACCTGGAAGACACACACAAGACTAAGAGACTGGCTCAGATTTTAGTTTTTTATTATTCAAGTTCTTTTTCTAAATATTGTTCTCCACAAAGTCAGCTTTGTTGAATACACAATTTTTCCCTTCAAAACCACAGTTAGTCTTCTTGATATAAGACAGCAATATTTTAATTTATGGATAGTAAGTTTAATTCTCAGAACAATATCAATGCTTACTTCTGATCCTAGGACAAGTTCACATGTCTAGAAAACTTACACCTTTGTATAGGCGATATAGAGTATAAAATCTATATATACAGATGATATGTATCTATGATCTTTAATCTGTTTTGACGGATTTACCTGCTGGAATTGTCCCTCACTGACGCCGTCTCTGTAGAAGATGATCCGCGTCGGTTTGAAGCGCGTGGCCTTGTAGAAGTGAATTAGGAGTTCTCTCACCATGGAAGACAACTCTTGTATGATCTCCTGTCGGTGCTGCTGTACTCGGACCGTGGAGGAGTATCTACTGGGATGGGCGTCCATACTGCCCACCACCTACACAAACAGAAACATCAGAATCAATAACCACCTACACAAACAGAAACACAAACATAAACTTATCATCAGAATCAGGTTATAATAATGATGTGTCCAGAGGAACAGAAAAGCATTTAAAACAAAAATTACATCATGAACTTCTATCTTATATTACACAATTATAAATGGTATTTTCATGTTATACTACACAGCTAATTGTGCCACGTACGTGTTACATATGGTTGCACATAACACATGTATCACGTATGTGAAATGTACGTATCACATACGTGTATTACAAACATACGTTTCACGTATGTGGTACAACGTACGTATTATAACATATGTGTGACTACATATGTTTCACATAACGTACGTTAAACGTATGTTTGGAATACACGTATGTGTTACGTACGTGAAACGTACATGTAACATATGTTATGTGCAACCATACGTTATACGTACGTTGATAAACGTACGTACGTTGATAAACGTACGGTTTACATGTGTATTGTCAACCACATGTTACACGTACGTTAATTAACATATGGTTTACATGTGTATAGTCAACCACATGTTACACGTACATTAATGAACACATGGTTTACATGTGTATAGTCAACCACATGTTACACGTTCGTTAATGAACTCATGGTTTACATGTGTTTTATAAAGCACAAATGTCATGTATATATATAGTTTATGTGCATTATAAACCACACATTAAATATACTAATGTACATAAATAAATTATGGTTAACTTGTTTTCTAAAGCTCTCATTACATATATGTTGATGAATATAGTATGTGTATTACATGTATCAGGCACATGTTACATATACATTTAAAAAGGTGTTTTACATGTGTGTGAAAACCTATGTTTGAGAATGAGAAGGCTGTATATTTTGTAAATTCATACAATTACATACATGTATGATAAATGTAGGTTGACTATAAATCTAATCCTTTTTATTTTATTTCAAATTTAATGTATTAATCAAATTATCATTTAGTTTTTGCTATAAAGAGAAAAAAAAACCAATGCGTTAAACATAAATTGTTGCTTGGGACTACATAATTTTGCTTAAAATACAGGAACTTTTTTGTATAAAAGTATGGCTGACTTCCACAACTAACTATTTTTCCTTAATAGTTTAAGTGATTTTGGAGAACTATAATCAAGATATTATTTAACATAACAATCAATAGGCACTTAAGGCTTAACCTGTTATTCAGGAAGAAGAGCAATCATAGTGATATGACCATCTATAAAATCCTTCTTATAACATGCATAACAGGTCCTTAGATCAGAAGTTGCATGTATTTTAATGATTATATTTTAAAATCTAAAATAACTTTTTTTGACATAAACATTATTATGATGTTTGGTTAAACCCAATCACCAGATCACAACTGAAGCATGCACATGTGTGCGTTGTTGACTTGTCGTGTGCGTATTTAATGTTTCAATTTATTTCACATTGTTTACCTTACGTCCACTTTCATGTCTGGCATGATGTTATGAGTTCGCATTGGTTTAAAATTTACTCTAAAACAGTAAACAAAGTTTACATAAAAAGTTCTCCAATCTCGTCATGTGTATCGGATATCGGTAGAGGCACATAAAATTGAACTCGGTCATCGGTAGATATAATCAATCCAAATTCAAGAGCTAAAATATATTTTTAAAAAAGAAAGAAATTCACGATAAATTCGCAACAAATCTCAAAAGGGAGTAAATGATTCATCTAGATAATTATCAAAATATACAGTGGGTACCGTCCGTATAAAACTTATAAAATATACCTTCCGGAATTTTCTAGCCTCCATTTATGTATTACATGTACGTTACCAGTGACGTCACTGGAAAGAGAAGTCTGACGTCTGCAAGTTCTAGGGCCTAGCTGAAGGTGAGGAATGCATAAAATCAACAATTATTTAATTACTTTATGACTGTGTGTTACATGTAAACTAAGGGGGTGTTTTTTTTCAGTGTATTACATAATGGAGACTTGGGTTACCAAAAACAGAAAATATTCATCATGTTGAGGCAGTGAGCTGTCTTGGTCAGCACCCAGGTGTATCCATCAACACGGGCACGTTATATCAAAATCATGCAGGTGAAGTTTAAAAATACTGTTATAACAATTAAGTATTTATTGAAAATGTTTTTTAACCTAACAAATAAGATGCAAAAAAAAAAAAAAAAAAAGAAACAACAACTATTTGATGTAAAGTTCCACTCACTGAATTTATTTCTTTTTACAGTATTTAAAACATCACATTAGATGGTAGATGGTAAAGGAAATTATTATCTTTGAGTGCAATAATGGTGTAACAGTTTTGTTTTTACATATCTGCCCTTTTAATCCTTATGAATATAAATTGTGTTTGAGATTAATGCCCTGTTCACACGACGAGTTTAATTCGCAGTAAATTAATGCGAAGTAAACCAATGCGGATCTAATTAATGCGAATTAAATTGCGTTCACACGACAGCTAATGCGAAGTAAACTAATGCGAATTAAAATTTTTCTTCTACAGTCAGGCGTCAGTAAGTCTATTATGACGTCATTTGTAAATCACGTCATGTATGCAGAGCCATCCTTTGATACATCATGTAGTGGCTACAGGTATTCATTGATTTTAGTGATTCACATACTTTCCCTCAATTTTTGAATCAAATATAGCACATATACCTATATATAACCACCAACACGTGTTCTGTGACTTAATTCTGACCTTACGCATGCATCAAAATTTAATTCGAATTAGCTTCGCTTAGCGTTCACACGGAGCTAATGCGAAGTAATTTAATGCGCAGTAAATTAATTCGAATTAAACTAATTCGCATTAAATTCTCCGTGTGAACGCTAATCGAAGCTAATTCGCAGTAACTTTACGTTTAATTCGAATTAAACTCTCCGTGTGAACAGGGCATGAGAATTTTTATGTGATTTTAGATATATGCATTCCAGGATGGTGACTGAAGCTCATCTTTGTAAACACCTAAATGCCTAGAATGGACTCCAAAACAGATTCTTAAAGTTTAACCAGTATAATCTTGAATATGGTAATACTTTTAATTATAAAGGAATAAGATTTTCTGATCATATTGCTTTTAGACTTGCAAATACTACATGTAACTTGAAGCTTTTCATGTAAAATTTGAAATGCAATCAAGTTTGACGAATTTCACACTACTAAGAGTTATCTCCCCTTGTCGGCATAGTCTCATTTTTCCCACTTTGTCCTTTGTAAGTTACCTGTTATTATTTTCAATCTTCAAACTTTATTGGACAATTTAGATCTGTACCTGTTTTGCCGAAGTTTGGGGCAACATGAAAATCTTAATGAACGATATTGACATTACAGATTTTATTTTTAAAATACTGACCAATAAATTTGGTAAGGTTACAGAGGGAAAACAGGGCCTTACGCTGGATTGACCCCGCAAAGGGGAATAACTTGTGTAAAATTTAATGTGAAAGTTGTCTATATTTTTTTTACATATATTTTTTATTAACCTCAAGGACAAAAAGTATACACTTGGAACACACACAAAAACAGATGAGTCCATGCCAACCTAAAGATTAATGCAGAAGGTAAGTTCAATTTTTCATTTCGTAACTCTTCTGGTTTTATCCAGATCGGACCTTACATATAATTAAGTCAGCTTCAGTATATAATAGAAGAATATGGGGATAACGAACAGTATTCATTTCAATCTCAAAGTCCATAAAACAATACAAAATAAGAGCAGAACACGGACCCCCGAAACATCAGAGGTAGGATCAGGTGCCATAATAAAACACCTATTTACTTACTATTCGGAAAATAGCTTGTTTATCATTTCCCTCGGCTGCATCTTGGGGAATAGTTGTTGTCTTGGGGGACGATAAACTAGCTATTGTCCTCATAGCCAGTAAATAGGTGTACATGAATACTGATTTTAGCTCTTCTGAGCCAAAGGCTCAAAGAGCTAACGCTATGGCCATTTGTGCGGTGTGCATAAACTTTTTAGAATGTGGGCCATAACTCAAGATCCCCTTGGACAATCATTGTCAAATTTTCACAGGGCATCCTTGGCCCAAGGGCTACCATTTATACTAAAATTAGGGTTTGGACCCTTATACAAGGGGAGATAACAGGAAGATAAAACCAAAAGAAGTCTATGCATAGAATTGTTAAACTTTGTCAGTTGAGGCATCTTGGGTTTTTGGAGAATGTCGACCAAAAAGTAGGTCACCATGACCTATTTATGGTATTTTATAGCTCTATTGAAATATCTTCAGTCCTAACTGGCTAAGAATCATGATGGAACTTTCTTGGTTGATGTATTTTGGGTCTTATAAACATAGAGGCTTCAAATACTAGTGATAGATTGTACAATTTATTAGAAGAGCGATTCAAGGCCCTTGGGTTTCCTGTTTTCCATCATCATACACTGTGCTCTGTCTGGTAAAATTTTAGCAGTTACAGCCTCCTCCCCCCACCGCCACCCAAACTAAGGGGGGGGGGGGTTAACCCATCAAAATTATTCAAAATTGTATTTTTTTAATCGGACATCAAGCAAACTATTAGCAAGATTTTAATAAGCATTGAGTCCTACTAAAATTATGAAATTCATATAGCCCCAGGGTAGGTGTATCAGATGTAAAGGCACAGCTTTATTAATTAATCATAAACTGAAAATGCATTGATTCATTGAAAATCTATAAAATGCTCCTAAGTTGAAAGCAAAAAGACTACGTTCATGACAATGAGGAATAAGTTTTATACCCCTGTAATCAAAGATTCTGGGGTACATCTATATAGCTTTTGCCCTGTCTGTCTGTCTGCAAAATCTTTTCCAGGCTCTGACAAATCCCATTGCCCGACGCCCGGGGCTAGTGAATTTTAGAGGCGGGCAAGTGAATTTTTAATAGGCACTTGCCCGTGGGCAAGTGGCTTAAAAAATAATCAATCAATAAATATTTTTAAAAATGTCATAGTTTTCCACGAAATTAAAATTATTTTGTTGTAAGAGTTATCTTCCTTTGTTTGTCACACTTTGTTTGCGAACCAGTTTAATTGTGTCATCATTATGCAATTCATTGCAATTAAGTTTTACCGAAAGTTTTAAGTACATGTATTAGTACTTAATTAAAAGTGACAATACAAATAAATTGGCATTGGAGAAATGGAGAAAGTTTTGACAGTTATGAGGCAGAAAACGATCGACATCGTCCATAAGAATGTTAGTGAAAAACTCCGTACAAAACTGTCAAAGCATACCAGGTATGAGAAAAGAAAAAAAGAGGTCCGAAATTATTATTTTAAACAAATACCAGATATCATGACTATAGCTGAAATATGATAGCAATTTTACGTCTCTATATGAAAGAAAATATTATTCTGGAACGGGACGTCAAACAGCATACAGTCAATCAACAGATTGTATGGTACGTAGTACTTAATGGCAGGTGGTTTTAAATGTCGCCAATATTCAAATTAACAACCCTAGGCTGAATTTTTTTTTTTGATTTAGAGACAAATTAATTCATTATGATGAATATAAAGTGCTGGTGGGGCAAGTAAAAATTGAAGTAGGGCAAGTGAAATTTGACCATGCACTTGCCCGTGGGCAAGTGCTTGAAAAATCTATTTGTCAGCCCCTGTTTTCACATTGGCCATATTATCTTAGTGGGTGAAAGTATGGCTTTCATATTTCACAGACCTGGGTATTCATTGTGACAATACTTTTGTATTGGTACACCAAATTAACCTTTAGAATTGAAAGTTTCATAACTTGAATCTTGGCCTTAACTTTTGAACAGTTGGTGCAAGGGCTTTCATACTTCACTTGTATATTTATTGTGACAAGACCTTTCAATGGGTATAAACAGAGCTGCCAACATTCTGAAATGAAAAATAGTAAGGCGTGGTCCGGGGACCGCCTCAGTCCCCTGTCGCTGAAGATATTTTGTAAATGTACACGTAATCGGAGGAATTTGAGGCACGTTTCCATTTTGTTTACTTAAAAACATTGACATGAATGCGATCGGCCAGCTAAAACTGAAACGACGATGCAAGCAACCAATGTAAGGATTATAAATATTTAATTATAATAGTAGAAACTGTAGAGACCAGTTATGAAAACCCCGGTATTATAAACTTTGATGGAGAAAAACTGAAATCGGAAGAATATAGAGAGAAATCGTAAGGCATATTTTGGATGCTAATTTCGTAAGACTTACGCCAAAATCGTAAGGGTTGGCAGCTCTGTATAAATTAAAATATTTGACCTTGAACTTCTAGTTTAACCCACTGTTAAAAAAATTTAACTTTGATCATAACTTTTGAGCTGATAGTAGTAGGGCTTTCATATTTCACAGATTTATTCTTTGTGACAAGTCCTTCCTTGGATGTCAACAATTTGACCTTTGACCTTGACTTTGGAGTTTGACTTGCACTTGGGAAACTTTAACCATAAGCTGGCATATGGGGTATTAGTATGTACAAACACATCTATTTTTCCGAGTTCACGCACAAATCATTGCTATGTAATGAATTTTAGATAAGAAAATTACAAGGTAAATATTTGAAGATATAGTGAAAAAAATAGCTTAAAAGATCATGGTTATGAATACTAAAAAATTAATTATTTAGTATTTATATTTAAGTTCTACGGAGAATCAACCAGGATTAATATCAGGATAATAATAATGTTCAGGGGAAAAAATGGATTTTCCCTTATTTCATGCATTTAATATTTTCTTTTTCTTTACAGGTAAAAGAGAACTGGAGAAAAATGAATTGATGTTAACATACTCTACATTAAATTTGGCTTAAATCTAAATATGTCTTTTGTTGTGATTGCTTCAAGAGCAATTAAGGATCAGGAAATTTAAAGTGAAGGATAACCAGAAAGTGGATCATTCAACAGATGAAAAGAAAATAAGCCTTTGAGGGAAATTATGTCAAGTGCATGAATTGAATATTTAAATTGCATGTAATTTTTGTTTCACCAACGATTAAAATATGTGAAAAAAATGTTCAAAACATGTGTTTAACCATGGTTTGACACATTTTTGTATGGTATTCGTACATTTACTATATGAGCAGTGCAAATAACAAACCCATTAAACATGTTATGAGAAACATATGTTACACACACGTTGCACGTACGTTATTCATATGTGAAACATATGAATAACGTACGTGTGCAATATATGTGTAACGTATGGTGGGCAATACGTACGTTTAACATACGTGACACGCATGATATTCACACGTGTGAAAACATAGGTATAACATACGTGGTACTTTTTTCATGGAAAACGTACGTGAAGTCACGTACGTGTCACATACATTTAACATACGTGAAACGTACGTGGCACAATTAGCTGTGTATACAGTAATAGCCTTTATCAATGATCTTTATAAAAACTGTGGATGAGGAGTATCTAAAACTAGCCAGAAAACATTTTTGATTTAATTGGCAAAGCACTTGTTCTATTGATAGGAAGGCACATTTATATATCTACACTGGACATGCACTGATATCTAAAGCATAAAGTGTTATATCAGGTGCAGAACATGAAATAATTCTAGAAAAGTTTTCACAAGTGAACTTATCAAACAAGGTTTTGAACAAAAGAAAATACATGTATGTGTTCATCTTATATATTCCTAAAATAAAATTTTTTACCACAACACATGCACTCAAGCAAATAGAACTAATTTGAGAAACTGCAATGGATGGAATTATCAGTAAAAATCCAAAATCGCACCATGACCTCAATTAGAAAGAGTATTGACCTAGCGGCTGAGTTGAGTTTTAAGTAGCATTTAATCAAGAAAGAAAGGAAACTACACTATGAACACAAATCCTTCTCTAGTGCATATGAAAACAATACAAAATCCAAACAAAAATTTATACATTATTCCAAAACTGCCAAAAAATACTCTTCTACATTCAATTTGCATGTTCATGTGAACACTTCACAAAAATTATGTTTACACACACAGATTAAAAATTGAGGTATGTGAAATTTACATCCTTGAATAACTGGACACATATGACAGGGTCTATAGATGTATTGTACAGATGAGTCTTGCTTACAATCAGTTTGTATGTGAAAGACTTTTTGATAATGAAGATGGTATTGTACTTATATCCCTATAGGCTATATAGCAAAAATTCTCTTACTATCATATTCTGACTCTGACATGATTCAAACAACACAACATCTTTTCTTGGTATATCACTAAAACTTGTTCAATTTATGCATTTACAATCGATATTACTGTATACTGGGAAATTTTCGCCCCCTTTTTGTTTTTGCTTTCTCCACTGGACGAATTTAAAACAAGGCGAATTTGAAGAACACAGCATAATTTCATAAACAGAACTATGACTGGACCAATCTAAAATGGGGCAAAATTGTTCACAAGTGCAGAAGGGCGAAAATAACACGAAGCGAAAATAACGCTGTATACAGTATTCAGATGTTGTAAGAATTAAGCTCTGTATAGTCGGACATTTCTAGTGCTGTGAGTAAACCTCTGTCCCACTTTCTGTGATAAGCAGCGAGACTCCTGACAGCTCTGTGTGATGTGCAGTAAAGTGAAAACAACTTACTGCAGCAATGGAGGGATTACTGGCGTCAGTATAAAGTGAAATGAACTTACTGCAGCGATGGAGGGATTACTGGCATCAGTAAAGTGATGGAGGGTTTAATGGCGTCAGTGTAAAGTGAAATGAACTTACTGCAGCGATGGAGGGTTTACTGGGGTCAGTAAAAAGTGAAATGAACTTACTGCGGCGATGGAGGGTTTACTGGGGTCAGTATAAAGTGAAATGAACTTACTGCAGTGATGGAGGGTTTACTGGGGTCAGTATAAAGTGAAATGAACTTACTGCAGCGATGGAGGGTTTACTGGGGTCAGTATAAAGTGAAATGAACTTACTGCGGCGATGGAGGGTTTACTGGCGTCTCCGGCTGGAGGATGGGTCACGTCGGCGCCGAGGAAAATAACAGGTTCTCTAAATATGGCAGGACTGTAAAGAACAAGGGAGTGAGATAGAACGTGCAGACTACACGGCGGCGACAGTAGGCATGCCTAAAGCCCAGAAGTCAGCAGCATGCAACAATATAATCAGAACCAGACACAGATTACTAAACCATTCAATATGCTCAGTTTTATTCTTCTCTTGATAGTAGAAGGGATTTCTTTTAAATTTTTTTTAAATTTTCTTCCTAAAATCCAACCATCTCATTTTAGAATATTCTGCATTGTAATTCTTTTTTTCCAATGAATAGAAAAAAACTAAGAGATGGTAATAACGGGCAATTTTTGTCTGGTTTCCATGATGATGTCACATGCTGATCATGCTAAATATAGCTAGAGCCCCTCTCTCAAAACCCCTCTGTATGAATAATCCTATTCAAAGAATGAGTAAACCAAATACATTTAGTTCCCCTGAGGCTATTACAATATTCTGATAATTTCTGTACACTTTTTAGAATTCATAATACAATGATCTTTCTGTGATTTTTTCCCCAGGTTTTGAGTGAGAGTGGTCAGAATTTGTAGAGGGCTGTTACCATGACTATAGGGTGACTCTGACTTACTGCTGCTATGGAGGGCTTAGTTTTATCCCCAGCTGGTGGGTGGGTCACGTTAGCACCCAGAAAAATTACAGGTTCTCGAAAAACCTTGGGACTAGAAAATTAACTTATCTATGGAATTCACTATCACAATGGCAATTCAACAATAATACATGTATAATAAATTATAGTTACTAGACCAGTTGAATACATTTTCTGTTATTATTAGTACAATTTTTCCAAGATACCTTTGTAATATATCAACTGAAGCTTCATTGAAATATTACATATAGATTTTTTGTAACTTGACAGATTTTTACAAACTTAAGTTAAATCTGCAATTTCAGATAAAATCATTTGCTTAGAATAATTGAGTTTCCTTCTGGTCTACTTATGATAAATCAGTTACAACTTACCGTATACTAGGCAGCAGGATGTTGTTGATCCCTCCCAGTTTGACGTTGATTTTTAGGCAGAGGTTGGAGAGCGTCTGTGGAGTAGTTTTGTTCACATTTTTGGCCTGAACACATTGTGTGGCTAATCCAAATAATATATCCCCTACACGCTTCACCTCAGCTGAAACGCATTAGGATCAGATATTAAGGAGGCTGGGGGTCAACATATAAACCATCAGATATTAAGGAGGCTGGGGGTCAACATATAAACCATCAGATATTAAGGAGGCTGGGGGTCAACACATAAACCATCAGATAAGATAGGATAAGCTGTCAACCATCATTTGGCAAAGAAAATTTCATTTTACTTTTCAGTTTTAAACTTTCATCACTTTTGTATATCTTTATATACAGCTCTTCTTCTCAAGATCTATATAGATCGAAATAGTCTAAAATGGCCACAACGACCCAACCCTTTTAATACAATAGTTTTTCTCTATGCCCAGAACAAGAGGAGATGAGGAGACTGAAGCTCACCATACACGGGGGTCTTCCCTGGCAGGACCACCACAATCAGCTGGAGCCCCTGGTATGTGTTCTTGAGATATCTAAACATGGGCTCCACCTGGTCGGGCCCCGTGGCGTATTTACAAAAGCAGGGCTGGCCCAGGATCGGCATCCCAGCATCGTTAGAGATCCTCTGTAACTGCTGGGTAAAGTTCCTACAAAAACAATTAATGTGTCATCTGATAAAGTGTAAATTACAGTGTCTGACTGAAAAAAAATCCTTAATAAACAATCAAAATGACATCTGTGATATAATATCTTATTGTGCATTTCTTGGTCTGACTAGAAAGCATTAGCTACAAAACATTCCACATCAGTTCTCAATGTTAAGAGTTAACAGGTTAAACAAGTTAAGTAGATCATACTGTACAAGTCTAAAATTCCAATACATGTATTCTAAAGCAACTGGTTTATAATTCAGTTCAGTGATACTGGTTGCAAACATTTGTTTCACTGGCTCTGCTGATGATCAATAACAATACAGAAGATAAATATTCCCTAATTTGGACTGCACAGTGTACACATACATTGTACTTGTCAGTTCTCACGAGCTTAATGAGACAGTTTACCTTAAAGCATCTTCCCTGACGGTTCGTTGTGGTGCGAAACAAGCGATGGCCCACACGCGGATTTCTGTCCCCGAGTAGAACTGCTTCCCCCTCATGTCCCACACTCCCTGGTTAGGCACCGCCTGGGCCTTGGTCTGAAATGTCTGAGTTAATAGATCAACTGTGGACAATAATCAACAGATGATACTGTATGGTAGGAGGTTTTTAGCAGGGCTCTCACACCACTTTTTGGGAATAGGTGTGGGTCAGTCAAAATTGGGAAAATAGCGACAATTTGGGAAATTTGGGGATAACCATTATTCTTAATAAACATGATATACTGGGTTTCTCATCTTTGTTATGAACTGAAGTATTGTTTTGTAATACAGAGGAATGTAAAAAACAAATTTAATGATCACAAATCCAGCTATATTTTCTTTAATTTTAGGGAGAAATGACTTCTGGGAAAATTAACACAATCAATTGAGACAAAAAGTACCTTTTTTGAATTGGGAATGTTCCCATAAACAACCCCTATTATAGAGAATTGAGAACCCTGTCAAGGGTGTCAAAATAGGCAGACTTAGACATATATAAAATAATGGTGGCAAAACTTTAGCTTCTTTTGAATTATCTTAAAGATTCATCTAAATTTACACCAAAGTCCCTCACCCTACAGTATCATCTCATTCTTACATTGTAAAAAAAGACTTTTTTTTTTATATACATGTAGATATCATTTTTCCATTTAATAATTAAACATGCTTGTAAAAACTGTCACTGCAAAGGTTCATTCTTAATTCAAAGCTAGGACTGCATGTTATCATGCAAAAGCAATGAATTCAACAGATTTTAGTAAATGATGCATTTCTTAAAAGTTGTACCAAGAAATCAATTTCATCATTTTTATTTGAAAATCAATGACCAAATAAATGAAATTTTCATTTAAAACCTTTGTATATAAATTTGTTAAAAAAAAATTTACAAAGAATGTATTGATTTTCTATCATTTTACAATTAACAATTTAACAATTAAGTATATCTGAGTACGATTCCTTACCCGTCCTCCATAGAGGATCTTGGGAGGGTGAAGCACACGTCCCTGGACGTCACACATCATCGGGTTGATGTTAATTCCAAACGTTTGTAGAAACGGGTCAGCATTGAAGTTGGCTTTCCGAACCTAAACAGCAGGTAAGCAGAGAATGGGTAACAGCCTCATCACACACTCAAATAAAACACACAGACCCATCACACACTCAAACACACAGACACACACACAAAGTATCAGTAGAATCTGACCAGATCTTTATCATTCAACATACACATGTAAACAGGTGTTTAATGAAGTTTATCAAAATAGCCCATTTTATGAAAAGAAAAATTTATAGAATGTACAAAGATCTAGTCAGATTTCTACTTCTTTTGCAATAACAGTTAAAAGACCCAAACAAACAGACAGACAGCATGTTAATCATAACGTGTCAGCCAAGGGGAAATTAAGATATTCTGTCCCACAGACAGACAGACAGCGTGTAACATTCCAGCTTTGGGGTATAAAGACATCCTGTCCTACCCGTCCTCCGTATTCTATCCGTGGCGGGGGTAATACACGCCCCCTCACGTCTGACATTTGATATGAGACATTAATACCAAACGTCTGGAGGTAGGGATCCTTATTAAAGTCAGCTTTCTGTACCTAAGGCAATAAATCACCAACAACAGTATCACCGTATACACATAGACGAAATAGTACAATAGTACAGCTGTCAAACACATGGATTACAATTTGGTCCATGTTGAAAACACTTTTCTTGTAATACCTCAAATTTTATTTTCTTAGTTTCATTATGTAGTTTGTCCATGTTGCATATGATAAACCTTGCTTTCAAAATGTTTTGTGCTTCTTAATAATGTGCAATTACAGAGACAGAATTAATGTGTATCACCAACCATACCATTTTACAAATTATCCCATGTTTTCAACTATACCCAACAAAATAGACAGAAATTCTTGAAAAATTACCCCACCCAAATTATCTCTCATTACTTTTCTAAGCAAGAATGTTTTGTGACACACATTGATAACTGCATATATCCACTATACAATGTCACCAAATGTCTGGTTCAGTCAATCAGGAAACAACTGCAAACCTCTGATATTAACTGTTTACAACTTATCAAATGGAGTACCTGCTGTAGTATAGTGATATAAATAGAGATAGATACGTACAAGATTGTTGATTTCTCTTTCTCTGTCAGGAGCAGATCGGGCTGTTGCCTATAAAACAAATAAAACATCCATTATAATTCCTGCCCTGTTTAATCAATAGATGAATATTATTTAATTCAATGACATCTTTAAACAATATTACTTTAATCTAAGTTAATAAAAATCTCTTTTCTTTCTATCTTGATAAATGTACAAAACATGGATAACAAACTGAATATTTTCAAATGAATTTTTAGTAAAACGCAGTAGAAAAAATTTACAGATTTTCTATGAAATTCAGATTTTTCCTCCTACATCTTGAATGTATCTTTTAAGATGTTTTTATGAAAACATAAACCAAACATTTTCGCTGATTTCTTGAGCATAAAGACACATCATTGGAAGCTTAGCACCCCAGCACAAATGAAACTGACTGGAGACAAATGCTCTGCACCTAAAACTTATTTTATCTAGCCAAAAGCATGAAAGCAACACACATCAAAGGACTGAAACTGTTAATTATAGTCACACAGTAAAGGTCTAGTCTAGCCACTTCAATCCCTGAAACAGACAAATCAAAAATCCAAAAACATCTAGCAAACCCCCTTTATATTTTATAACCTATCACCACATCACAACCTAGCCGAACTCCTCTAGATTTTACCAGTTCCTCCATGCAATGAACAAGAGCAGCTCAAGTAAGTATCTCCTACATACAGCAAACACAATGAAATCTCAGGATTTTAAATAAACAAATGCTTGAAAGTACTCACTTAATCATACAGAGCAACCAAACTTCAATGAGAAACAGAAACCCTCCTACAGCCACCAAACCTACACTTTTTTGCCCTTGTCTCACAATCTAGGGTTCCTTACAACAGCAACATCCCAATGTACTTACTCACACAGAGAAAAACTTCAACGCAAATACAGAACTTTCTACAGCCATCAAATCTACAAACCTTGCCAAGTGTCTCGAAATAGATTTCTTTGTTACACAGTACGTGTATGAAGGCTATGGGTTAAGGGGAGACAGGGCGCATGTCACATGACTAAAAAGACATATTACGTCACAATCGGTGATGATATATATGTTAAACATTGTTAAAATCAACAGTTCTTGTGTAATTTTATTCTAAATTCTAAAATTAATTTTTAAACATTTAATTTTAGAAATTATTATTGATGAAATTTTTAAAGATCTTGCCATCATTTAGATATTGTAAAGTTGCCCAATCCACACAGTTGTTTCTCTTTACCCTGCAGTCTGACGTCAGTGACGTAGTGTTTGAATTCTCAGTGCAGCGAGATCAAGTACACACACCCGTCATGATCAGTTTTTTTTCATAATAAACAGGTCACAGTCAATGTATCGTGATAAATTTCTGAAGCAGATTTTTTAAATTAATATTTTTTCGTGTTTAGTAGCAGAGATTCTCTCTATAATTTTGAATGTTTATGTTTTCGTGTGACGTCACAATTGACAGGACCGTTTTAAAATGTTAAGAACATATTAAATTAGTAGTATAAAAAATACGAGAAAATTTCATTGACAGGATTTTTTTCAGCTAAAGGCCCTGTTCCTCCTTAAATAGAAGCTTATAGAAATCTTTAGACTCCTCATGTATGTATTTCAGGGACAGTGGCTAGGATTGATCATCATTACAATACAGAAGTGGCTCACTCACTCACAAATACAGTATATCACAGACCAATACAGTGTGTCAAAAACCAATGCTACAGAAAATTATCTATGCAGATCATCATTATTCACTAATCATTGTATCACTTCTACAGAACTAATCACTTGTAATATTCTAGTAGATGGCTATCAACAGCAGCTTGGCTTGTACAAACATAAATCAATTTTTATCAAGTTCAGAACACTATCTATATGTATGAATTGACATTTCAAAATCCCACTTTTAAGCTACCAAATATCTTCAATATACAGAAATTGTATCTTTCCGTATATATAATTACATATAATTCTAATATCTCAATAACATTACAAACTGAAACACAAATCCCCAATGCCAGATCTCTGCATTTCTCCTGAAGTAAGGAAAGAAACAAAAAGAATGCAGGAAAGATAAAGGGATGAAATGGACAAGTCTACCATATGAATAAAGAGTCTCTAGACACTGTAGGAATCTCTAGACAAAGGAGTGGGGGGGGGGCACTCTGACAGACATGTCGTTTGCTGTAGGTGGGGGGTGACTTATTTGAGAAACCTTGATCATGGTAGATGTCTGCATGTCTGTCAGCTTCTTGATGCACCGCTGTCCTCCCACCACATTACACACCTGTAACAATAAACAGGTAAATAAAACAGGTAAACAAAAAACAGACAAACAAATCAGGCATATCTGACAGGTGAAAAATATAGTGTAAGGGAAAGATCAGAAATATTTGCCATTTCAAATTATCTAGGAAATTTTCCATTTACTTTATGAATTATCTGTATGTATATCTAGATCAGTGTACAACAAATACTGACCTCCAGTGGGGGAGAAAAGTGTGTTTCCTATATATTGCTATATAAAACCTGACCCACTTGTAGACAAGGCAGATGAGGATATCTAACATCAAAGTTAGAAATTTCAGCTCTTCCTATGAGAAGAAGATTTTCAAAACATATATATTTCTTTATAAAAGTATGGATAGGAGGAACAAATTAGAATAATTATGAGTCCACAAACATGGCCCATTGAAAATTCAAAGATTTTTACATATATCTATGTAAAACATATGGCTGGACATGCTTTGAACAATTTAGAATCTACACTGTACCAGGATGCTTCCACATAAGTTTCAGCTTTTCTGGCCCAGTTGTTCTTGAGAAGAAGATTTTCAAAGATTTTTCATATATATTTCTTTATAAAACTTTGATTCCCCATTGTGGCCCCACCCATCCCCCGGGGGTCATTATTTGAACAAATTAGAATCTACATTATACCAGGATGCTTCCACATAAGTTTCAGCTTTTCTGGCCCAGTGGTTCTTGAGAAGAAGATTTTCAAAGATATATATTTCTATGTAAAATGACAACGGATTTGAACAATGTAAAACACTGTAAGGATGCTTCCACATAAATGGCCCAAAGAGAAATTTTCAAAGATTTTTCATATATATAACTTTGATTCCCCATTGTGGCCCCACCCACTCTCCATTAATTGAACAATTTAGAACATACATTATATGCTTCCACATAAGTTTCAGCTTTTCTGGCCCAGTGGTTCTTGAGAAGAAGATTTTCAAAGATTTTTCCTATATATTTCTATGTAAAAATTTGATACCCCATTGTGGCCCCGCCCTTTCCCTGGGGGTCATGATTTGAACAATTTTGTATCTCTCAACATAAGTTTCAGCTTTTCTGGCCCAGTGGTTCTTGAGAAGAAGATTTTCAAAGATTTTTCATATATATTTCTATATAAAACTTTGATTCCCCATTGTGGCCCCACCCATCCCCCGGGGGTCATTATTTGAACAAATTAGAATCTACATTATACCAGGATGCTTCCACATAAGTTTCAGCTTTTCTGGCCCAGTGGTTCTTGAGAAGAAGATTTTCAAAGATTTTTCATATATATTTCTATGTAAAACTGTTATTCATGATGAACAAGTTGATAGTACCAGGATGCTTCCAATAACTGGCCCTTGTGAGAGAAGATTTTCAAAGATTTTTCATATATATTTCTATGTTAAACTTTGATTCCCCATTGTGGCTTCCCCCGGGGGTCATGATTTGAACAATTTAGAATCTACACTATACCAGGACTGTGCTTCCATATAAGTTTCAGCTTTTCTGGCCCAGTGGTTCTTACACACAAGATTTTCAAAGATTTTTCCTATATATTTCTATGTAAAACTTTGATTCCCCATTGTGGCCCCGCCCTTCCCCCTGGGGTCTTGAACAATTTAGCATCTACACTATAATGCTTCCACATAAGTTTCAGCTTTACTGGCCCAGTGGTTTTGAGAGAAGATTTTTTAATGACCCCACCCTATACTTGATTATCTCCCCTTGCGAGGGGATATGTCCCTTCATTTTAACAATTTAAATTCCCCTTTACCCAAGGATGCTTTGTATCAAGTTTTAAAATTGGCCCAGTGGTTCTTGAGAAAAGAAAATGTGAAAAGTTTACAGACGGACAGACAGACAGACAACAAAGATCACAAAATGTGTCATTTATATTTTCGGACAGGTGTGTAAAAAAGACAAACAAATCAGGCATATCTGACAGGTGAAAAATATAGTGTAAGGTAAAGATCAGAAATATTTGCCATTTCAAATTATCTAGGAAATTTTCCATTTACTTTATGAATTATCTGTATGTATATCTAGATCAGTGTACAACAAATACTGACCTCCAGGGGGAGATAAGTGTGTTTCTGCTCCTGACCCACTTGTAGACAAGGCAGATGAGGGTATCTATAACATAAAAGTTAGAAATTACAGCTCTTCCTATTCAAACAACATTGTTGTATAGTATGGATAGGAGGAATGCATAAATGAGTAAACATACATTGAAAATTCATAAGTACATATATAATGAAAACATATGGCTGGACCGGGAATCAAACCCGGGACCCCTGTATTACTAGTCCAGTGCTCTAACCACCGAGCTGTCCAGGCCGACGTCCTCAGACCAGCCTAAATTCCTACAGTAGCAATAAATGCTTTTACAATTGATCAATAATCTATAAAATGACAACGAATGCCATGTTAAAGTAAATTCTAACTAAATCAAAGAGAAATTCTCAACCTATACTTCAATGACAGTATAGTACCCAGCACTCTTCAAATATCAAACATCAGATTCAGGACAAAGAACAGCTGACTTACTGAAGTTTCATTTTGTATCTCTCCAGGAAGTATCTGGCTACTGTACACTCCACTGTTTGTCCCGAGTCTAACTGCAGAGGGAACCTGTCAGAAACAAACAATAAACAATCAGATACTAGTAAACAATATAACTCATAACAATTTTCATTAAATAAGTAATGGAATAACAGGCCTCATGAGAGAGGTTTTATGACTGTTTATGGGTTTTATGTAAAAACAAGATGAATACTTATGACTGCATTCTGTGCTGCATGTAATGAAAACTTACGACTGTGTCTGGGCGGGGCGCCTGGTTACGTTACACACACGATATTTACGTCTCATAGTTCCACAATGAGTAATCTCCACCTTAAGACCTGTAAAACATTCGACTTTATCTTCAATAGATTTCAGAAAATACTACATACTTATCATATTTCTCATCAATTTTTACATTAAAATTCTCTTCAGAAAAGCAAGAAAATTCTAAAAAAGATCACCATTTGTCATTTATATTTTGACAGCTGTGTAAGTTACTGTTAACACTGTGTAGGATTGATACACATACCCCTGATTTCCTTTGTAAATTTGACTCTCTGCGAGTCAGTGAGGGGGCGCTTCTGTTCGTTGACGTCTTTGATATCCAAAACTTCACACATAAACTCTATCACAGGCTGGGCTTTGTAAAAGGCAGTGGCAGATACTGAAATAAAGACAGTATACTTAACTAACTTAACTAAACATTTACATGTTCAATGCTTTCCCATTCTCAAAATCTAAAATTATTTCTCTATACATAATTTACCCAAATTACTATTTTCAATGCTTTACAATCAACAAAATCAGAAAAAATATTTATATTTGTTAGGATTTTTAAAGTATTTTTAATCAGAATTTGAATTTTACAATATTTTTTACTCAAAAGACAACAATAAAATCCTAATAAAATTCACTTTCCCTTTTGTGGTCAGAATCTTAGGCCATATAAAATTGAAATCTTGGTTCTCAGGCCCGCGCGCATCCGTTTTGAGCCGCGTTGCCGATTTTATTGTATTTTTGATAAAATAAAAAGTTGGTTATACACGGGAAAAAAATTACCTCAGGTTTATTTTCAAATATCACTTCCGGTAGCCATTTACAATGAGATTTTGGCTACTTCTTTTGAAAATACATTCGAGGACATTACCTACGATGTTTACACGCTGTTAAGCAATGGATAAAGCAGAAATTTTGACCAGAAATGGAAAGTATATCTGTGATTAAAAAAATTGTCTTTATGTTAAAGAAAATTCGGAAATTAAAATTTTAAAAAATACCTCCCTCATCTACTTTATTGTTTTAAATCGCCAATAAAATGAAAAATAAAATGCCGCCCTCCCGCATCTGTTTTGGAGAAAATTGGCCTGAGAACCAGGGAATTAAATTTAGATAGCCTTACATCATGATATTTTTTTATATGGATACAACAGTTATTCCCCCTTACCATCAATGTTCAGCATCATTTTCCAGTGGGAGGGTCTCACGCTCTGATGGAACCCGAACCACACCTCCCTACCCCCACCCAGGGGGTGGTCATACCCCTCCGGCGGGGAGAAGAAGGAACGACCCACAGGCGTGTACCTGTCAAAGATCAGTCACACTGTACAACTCAACAACACACATATGATAAGCTGAAAACATACTCATTTCTACAGTATAAATTCTGAAATATTTAAAGACAACTTCAAAAAAAAAATAAATCATTATCATTTATTCAATTTTATGATAAAATGGGTTACAATATTGAATATTGTCATAATTTACTTTTCCATTGACCATGCTGACTTTAGAAAATGTTATACACAATACGGTAACTTTTATCTTATGTGCATTATACATGTACTTGAAACAAAATATAGATGAATACTGTATACAGGGAAATTTTCGCTCCATTCGCCCTACCCTCATTTGGACGAATTTAAAACAGGGCAAATTCATAGAATACAGTATAATGTCTTAAATAAAACTATTGATGGGCGAATTTTAAACTGGGCAAAATTGTATGCAAATGTGAAAGGGCGAAAATAACACTGGGCGAAAATAACCCTGTTTACAGTATGTCCTTTACGCCAAAGAGAGTTCTGTCATACAGAAAAATTCTATGAAGGGGTACTGGAACCATTGAAAATTAAGTTAACATGCCTAGCCAACAATTCACATGTCTCTATGTTAATAACAACTAGCTGCTAATGAAAGGTGAAGCTTTAACTCACCATCATCAAATGACACACGTACATGAGTACATGTAGTAAGTCCACTTTATAATTAATATTTTCTTTTTTTCTTAAATACCCCTACAATCTCCCATTCACAAGTATTTACAAAGCTTAAGGCAACTAGTTTGATAAAAAAAGATTTGGTTCAGAATGCTACAGTACTATTAAACATTTACAAATAATCCCCAAGCTTGCTTCACTTATGACTGGTATCAGGACATTAAGATTTCTGTATGTGATAGGTCATTTCTTTTAACATATTGAACTTAACTTACTAAAATACCCTAGCCATTTGAGATTATGCATGTGCAAAATAAGATCCTTTACAACTATTGCTTTTTGATCTATGACTTCTTTCCATAAATTCAGAATAACATATTAACATTCTTATCCATAACTTTATCACAATATTTAAGAAATAAATAACAAGTCAAATCCTGTGAAGGCCAAAGGCAATTGAAGTTTATAAACTTGTTATTACTTATATATACATTTGAGATTGACAATTTAATATTAATCTTCTCAGAAGATTTGATCACGTACCGACCCACTTCAATTCCCATTGAAGTTTATAAACTTGTTATTTATTACTTATATATACATTTGAGATTGACAATTTAATATTAAAATAAATATATTCGGATATAAATATTGCACTAACCAGTCACCATAGATTTCCGTCAAAAGTATGCAAGGTGTAAATCGGCTTGAAAGGCGGTTATGCTTCGAATTCATCGAGCTAAGAATTCTATTTCGAAGGGAATATTTTGTTAAGGGCTACTTGTGATCCGTAATTGTGAACAGGTTCTTATCTGGGAAGTTTGTGAAAATTGATCATTAATGCTGAAAGACACAAGAAACACGAGAATTGCTGATAAAAAGTTGGAGGAATTTCGGTCGCCTGAAAGGGATGGATGGATCCGATGGATTGAGACACTTGCCCGAGCCAGTTAGCCTAATCAAGCATTAAATTTGATCAAAAACATTCAATATACGATTTCAGTAATTAAAGGCATATTTATGATGTTAACAATGAGACACTGGCGACAGTTTACATTGAAGTACAACAGCGCTGATCAAGGTGTTCCTCGGTTGTTCGTGGCGTGATTGCAATGCTGTGATATTTTCCAACAGATTTATACATTTGTCGTGAGTAGAACTGAATGAAAAAATATAGTTTTAGGCAATATCTTGAAGATTTAACTTAAGGTCTAACAAAAATAAGGATAAACAAAAAAGTTAGAGATTGTGCAGCTGACAAAAGTGACATACAACTTGTAAACAAATGCTAGTTTCTATAGGACTGGTATACTGAGTATATTCTTTATGTACACAAGTTGAATCGATCACCAAAATATGTACGAAGTACTTGTTCACGTTGTTAATAAAACAATTATTTCCCTTGCTTATTTTGTTCATTTCTATACATGAAAAGCAAGTCATTTTATATTTATAAGTATAAATGCGCCGTGTGACACCTCTGAGACAAACTTCATACAGAATTGAAGATATTATCTCTCTGTATGTTTACATAGTGGAAAAATACCACAAATGTATATATTTGTTATTCTGACTTGAGATTAGGAACACCATTTGTCACAGGTCTGTATGTAACACTGACAGTCATTCTATCAATTGATTATATTATTACAATTGATTACAGATTACAAATGTTACATTGTGACTCAGGTCACAAAATAATAAACCCAAGAAATGCATACAGTGCTGTGCTTTCTACAATATGCTACATAGGTGGTAGAGTTAGTATGTTAATAGATCCTTAATACACAGACTTTAACAAGAGTTTAAGAACTTATTCCTCTACTTCTGAATTATATACACCAAGGATAGAAAAAGAAAAAGAGAGAATTAGTTCCCCTACTTAACATTAAGTATTCTTTTATGTTTTAACTACAGAAGGAGAAAAATCTCAACAAAAAAAACCCTTCATTTTATTGGCAATTTTAACTGTTAACATAAAGATAATTTTTTAATCAGATATAACTTCCTGCTTTAATGCTTAACCTACTATAATTTTGTTTTCAACGAAACAAAATTCATTGTAAATGGCCCGGAAGAAAACAAAACAAATTTGATTGGCAACACAGCAACTTTTTATTTTATCAAAAATAGAATTTTATTTTAATCGGATCCTGAGAACCAAGATTTCAATTTTACATGGCCTTAATGCCCTTGCAACTTTTGTTTTTCAACGAATATTTACATGACAACACAGATGTAACCGAATTCTTAAATAAAGTTTACCTATTCAATTCCTTAATTTTAAAAACCATTAAACATGTGGATGCATATTGAACTGGGAACAAATCAAAATCTAAAAGTGACCAGTCTATGGGCAGAATCAGCTGATCAGGATACTCACGTCATACTCGGCAAGTGCCGCATGATAATATCGACGGCGGTGATCGCGTCCTGGGGGATTTCCCGGGTGTGACCTTGTAGTGCCTCCTCTAGACCAAACAAACTGATCTGCTGCATCCATTTCATTGTGATATTGAACACTCTGTCTTTTCCCTCCCCCGGTAGCGTTACCTCGAGTTCCACCTGTGTTACAGAGAGAAGGGGAGAGAGGATAGAGAGAGAGCTCACTACGCCTGGCCGGCGACCATCGCTAGGCGACCATCACGCAGACAGAACAACTGTATCTAAGGTATCACCAGGCAAATAAGCAGCAAACCAGGAAAGTCAATCAATACACACAATTTCTTTACAAGTATTACATTTCTTCAATAAATAGCTTCCCATTTGCTGCTTGATTTCTCTAGCGATTAGCTACTCCCTCACCGACTGTTCTCCTGGGGCTCAGCCAGTCAGTGAGGGGCAGGGTTAGTTATACCTACTCCCCACTACACCAGGGGGGGACACAATGCTCCGCTATACTTACTTCATGCTGGGCAGATGCCTCATTATGACATCCAGAGCCTGTATCGACTCATACGGAATCTGCTGAGCTCGCCCCTCTAGAGCTTCCTCGAGGGCGTACAGGCTCACCTGTGTCACCCATTTGATGCCCACCTTAAACACCCGGTCTTTACCTTCCCCGGGTAAGGTGACCTCGAGTTCTACCTATTACAGGAACCAAATCACATCAAATACATCACATTAAGGTCTGCTGGGGTAATAATGTATTGTAAAGCGCTTTGAGTAGCACACATTACAGCAGCCACACAATCACTGTCAGACATAGATGTACAACTCTATGTCACAAAACTGCTAGTTTCTCAAGAATAATTTGACAGAGATGTACAACTACAGTTCATGAAATTGTAAGTTTCTCAGGAATACAGAGATGTACATGTACAATTGTATTTCATTATTGTTTCACATGCAGGAAAACATTATTTTTACACAGATGAAGTAATTGTATCCTATTACGATGCTGATTTCTCTAGAACTGATTTAACACATTTAATATGTTTGTAATAGGCCAGCTGAATGTATCAGGTGTGAAGGTAATAGATAAAACTTTCATCAGTACATTAAACATACATATACAAAAAATCTGCAAAATAATTTAGATTTCTAATATGTCTTCTAAAACATACAAAGAAACAATAAGAAGTTACTTATAAAATCTGTCATTTTTGTGTACATTCATGAATTATATTTCATTTTGAATAATTTCACACTGAAGGCTTCTAAAGTGCTATAAATGATTAAGTAGGAGACTGAGGAAATGACCCCGACACTGACCTTGTCTCGACCAATGGGAAGAGGATCTCGGCTGTACAGATTTTTGCGTCCGTCAAACACCGGTTTCATTCCTGAGAAGATTTTCTGACTATACGCTGTGACCATTGTTTCTATTATTTCTCTGAAAAATAACACAGAAACAACATGAAATTAAATTGCTGATTTACATATAATTTAAGAAAAATAATTTAAATACAAGGATATAAAATGAAAATCTAAAATTTCTTAAAATCATCAAAAAAATTTATCATTCAAAATTTCTTTGTACCATGTGTGAGCACAAACTTGTGAGTATCCATTACCTAGTTTTGTTTTTTATTGACATTCCCTTAGAGCTTGATATCAAATAACCATTTCATTGAACACAAACTCTTTATTGATATCTTCAAAATACTGTGCGTTATGGTAACTGTTGCTGTGGATATACTGACCTATTGACCCTCCTTGGACATTTATCAGGCACAATGGAAATATCGTAGTGGTGTATTACCCCCTTTGGAATTCGCACTTGGAAGTGATTGGCGTGCAGCATGATAGGTTTCCCCTCTGTCCCATAGTTAGGACGGGGCGGACATATAAAGTCAGCAGGTCTCGGGGGACCGGGGGGCCCTGGGGGTCCGCCTGCTGGGGGTCCAGGAGGGGGCTGAGGTGGCGGAACTGTAAATAGGTCAAATGTAGCTTAATAATGTACGGTAATTTGAGCAACTTATATTGCTTGGAAATGGCAGAATAGTTTGAATTCATTATTTAAATGTTCCTCAAAAAAGTTTCATTTTTTTTCTCAAATTATGATTCATGAGATTTCAGACTTCTGCTAGAAGAGAATCCTAGGTGATTATCACTATATATAGGAATGACATATAGGTGAATGTTCAAAAATAACTTACAGGCGAATCCTCCCTCTGGTGGCTGAACGGGTGGGAATGCCGAAAAGGGAATCGAAGTTTGGCCTAAAAATAAACATTACATCATACAGCATAACACATAGCACAAGCTCAAAATAGGGACAGAATTTCAGAAAATCAAATGTAAAACCATAGACCAATGAGGAAACCTGAATATCAATAGAAATTTCCTGGGTTTCCGTCTGATGACTTACCATCTGTTGGGAAGGAGGTAAATGGAAGTCCAGAAGATTGACCTACAGAAAAACATACAAACACATGACTATTACATGTACTAATTACTTTACAATAAACACTTCACAAAATACACTACCCAGCACTCAGCACTAAAGCCTAGAAATTCAAAACCGGTAAAACCAAAAGTAATAATCTAAATGTTATAAACCATGTAAACTGAGGATTTCTAATTCATGATTATAGCATTTACCTTCCGTTGGAAATGTTGAAAATGGAATGGACGGCTGGCCTGTAAAATATGAGGTGCACATTATCAGTTGGAGGAAAAAAAGAAAGAAAACAGGGATATAAAGTTCTCATTAGACATTAGCAACACAACAGTCAGACAAAATATCATCTTGGGAAAAATGTCCAATGGGGATCTTTTCTCAGTGTGCTTCAATTTAACAAATGACCAATTATCACATTCCTACTGATAAATACAAAACATTCCTACTGATAAATACAAAACAGATAACATCAAGAAGTATATTTTCCCCTCTTATTTCTCTCTTCTACATAAAGAATGCAACCCAGTGTATTCATTGGGTGAAGGGGGTCAAATTAACCCACATAATTTTCTTTTAGGACATAATACAACATATTTACTAGCACCAGGTTGACAAATTAAGGACACATGTACTGACATAAGTAGGGTGACAACAGATCTGACAATATTAACCAGACAGTTACCTTCAGATACATTAAGTGGACTTATTTCAACATCAGAATCTGCAAGCGATAAATTTACAATTTTTTTTCTCTCTGTTTCTACATTTTGATTATTTCCATATTTTGTTCAGTTGACCCAAAGCTAATAAAATTTGCTTGAAAATATATTCTAAACTTCATACTTTTCCTGGGACCTTTGACTCTCTTCTCAATCCCCACATTTTTTTCCTTATCCCCCCTTTTTTAATCCCTTTTCTTATTTTCCCTTCAACCATTTTTCCCTTTTCACTTCAACTAGCTTTATAATTCTTTTTATATCTTACTATGAAGACTCTGTTAAATCTTGCATTTCAAAGGAAGAATGAAGTTTTTGCTTTTGCTGTTGTAAGGAATGGAAATTTGTAAGATCACTGTATAAAATTAGTAAGAGCATTAAACATGTGAACCAGGATTATTTCTAACAAACTTACCTTCCTGCATGGGAGGAAAGGCCGAAAACGGGGTCTGTCCACCTGTAATTAAATATAGACAGGTAAGTCAGGTAAAAAAAAAACCCCTTAGCATTAAATCTTAAATCTACCCCCCCAAATACTAGTACCTCCCCCGAGGGCAACATTAAATATCCCCCTCCCCAATCCTTTGTACCCAAACAAATAATACGTAAAACATGTCCCCTTCCCTAGTTTCCATATCAATAATGACCCTGTCCCATACTATTAAGACAAGGGATACATTAGATCTGCCCCCCTGCATCCTCTTGTATCCCTCAGCATCCAGTGACTACAAACCTTCTAACACTCTGGTCACACTTCTTTTATACATGTTCTTATCAAGGTTACCCTCAACATAATGTATCTATCCACTTATGAAATTCTAAATCAACATGATCAAAGTGATGTAATTATTCATTACCAATACTGCTTCTAATTACAATTGTTTAACTAGGACAAATTAACTCGGAGAAAGTCAATCTCATCAAGGCCCCACCTAAGTCATTAAACTGTAGGTAAACTTTTCTATAATATTAAAATTAACTTCATGTCTAGACTCTGTAACGTAATGTTAGCATCCCCCAGTGATTACAGTGATTACGTGACATGAGATAGCTGATCAGTCTGTTGATGTCTGACTGATCAGATTATGCGTATTAAGGCTGGCTGATTATTGATTAAATCGTAAAACGTGTCTCTTCACACAAGACACTGACCCAGCAACACTCTCTCATTGATGTATCTCAGTCCTTCACCAGGGGTCTCTATCAGGTTTATCATTCCGCTTCCTGTGTGCATTGTATTTTCTGTTCTTATATGTGATTTCTTTGAAAAAAAATCCTTATTTTCCATATTCACAAAAAAAAAGGGATAAAAAAAGCAAATTCATAACCCTTATTACTATCTTCAAATTTGCATGGCTTTGTTTGGTTTAATAATACTGAATGTTTTTCATCATACCTGAATATACATGATATACACATGTATAGATAATTAAGACAAGGTAGAATGAATATCAACCCATGAAGTACTAATTATCATAGTACACTGTATATATACCAGGTAGATCTCATTATTATTTCTTTCGGATTATCATTACAGATTAGCCAGACTATAAAACTTTTCTTTCCCAAGTTTAAAGTACAAACACAAACACCAAAGCAATCTGTCTTCTTCCTAGTTATAATAATAATGACTAATTACACTCTATATCTATATTTTTAACATCAGGAAGTTAACATGTAATTCACCTCATTTTAATAAAGTACTCCACTTAAAAGACTATAACCATGATATAATTTAGATGAGTAGTTGAATGTGATAGACTACCTGCAAAAAACTACAGACAAACCTCACTATGGCTACTTCAGTAGACTGAGATCAAACATTCAAATACCAAGGATTTAAGATAACAAGGTTGAAGAACATAAAGAAAAAGTGTTTAGAAACTGCCAGATTACTTTGACACATCCCAGATATTTGAGATATCTGTGCCATTTGAGATATCTGTGCTATTTGAGATATCCCTGAATTTTGTTAATACTACATAGTACTGTTAAGCTACTGGTTGTTTAGTATTTTTAATTCCTATTTAGTTAGTACTTTAGTATAACATACCGTTAAGCTGCTGATTGTGTAGAATATACTTAGTACTACAGTTATAGTATTAATACTATAAAAAGCATTACAGACTGTAATGTTACATACCACAGTAGTTAGTATTAGTACTAACTACTATAGTTAGTATTCTAACTGTTAAGCTGCTGGTTGTGCAGTATTAGTACATGACTTGTTAGTACAACAGTTAGTATTAGTACTATAGTTAGTATTATATACTGTTAAGCTGCTGATTGAGTAGTACTAATATTCTGATATATTACTATTTAGTTAGTACCTTGGTTAGTATTTAAGTACTATAGTTAGTATTACATACCGTTAAGCTGCTGGTTGTGTTCTGTGTAGTATTTAGTTAGTACTATAGTTTGTATTTGTACTATTGTTTGTATTAGTACTATACTTAGTATTAGTACCATAGTTTGTATTAGTACTACAGTTAGTTTAAGTACTACAGTTAGTATTACATACTGTTAAGCTGCTGGTTGTGTAGTTTTTAGTCAGTACTATAGTTTGTATTAGTATTATACTTTGTATTAGTACTATAGTTAGTATAAGTACTACAGTTAGTATTACATACCGTTAAGCTGCTGGTTGTGTAGTATTTAGTTAGTACTATAGTTTGTATTAGTATCATAGTTTGTATTAGAACTATAGTTAGTATAAGTACATGTACTACAGTTAGTATTACATACCGTTAAGCTGCTGGTTGTGTAGTATACTGGTGATACCTGTGAATTTAATGGCAGATTGTTAGTGACACTACACTGATTACAGATACACACAACATCAGCATGTTACAAAACAAACTACACACATACATGGCATACACTTAGATTATGTTACATTGTAATCTATGATAAAAATAAAACGTACAAATTGAAGAAAGAGGGTATGAATGATTTCAAGAAAAATCTGATGTCAAGCATGTGTCAAGGCTAGCAATGAGCTACTTACTATCAAGAGTCTGAGACAAAGATTTCTATTGTATATGCAATATAATCCATGTCAAAATCTAGTCTTGGAAACTTCATCATGTTGAAGCTAATTTAAATTCTTTTAATGTCATAAAGTAAAACTTAACACTTTGATGACCATTCCTGATTGCCTTAAAAGCTTGAACCATGTGAAACACCAAGTGGTCCAAGCTAACAAAAATATACAAACCAATGAAACTGATCAAAAGGTATTGAGTTGACTGTCATTTTGGCATGAAACATGTGAAAAGTACAAAGAGTGTATTTATCCAATTCCATCAAGTCACATCCTAGTTAAATCTATGTAATTAAAACTCCACATAAGTAGACCACACCTTACATATTGCTATTATCATCTTATCTTCTTTATATTCTTTATTTAGTCATTCAATCAAGTTCTTTTATTTATCTGCATATAAGCAATTTGTATCTTTGTATGATCTACCCATTTACTATTAATCACACATGTCCAATCAAAAGACTTTCCCTCTGACCTCTATGTAGCTATTTTGAGCTACCTTGTTATTTAAACCTTTTGGATACACCCATGTTTCACTTTTATGCCCAGAGATCAAAGAAGTTACAATGAAAAAAAAAAACAACAGAAATTGGAGAGAACTAGTTAGTGAACAAAAGAAATGAAATCATGCTATCATGATTGTGTTAAGTGACATATGATTGTGTTTTATTCTTTTTTTTTCTTAAATTAAAAACATTCCTGCTCCAATGCCCCGAGTCCTGTTCCAATGCCCGGAGTAAGTGTAACTTTTACTTTACTAAGTAAGATAGACCAGTTCTGTACAGTCTGTCCATGTTTCTAAGTCACTGATTAAAAAAAAATTTAAAAATTAAGTGACGGACATTCTCTTGCACTTACTGTGAAATCACTTATTTTTATTTTATTTTATTTTAATTCTCCTGGTTTTCGAGGTATGGACAGAGCCACGAATCTATGACCACCATGATATATGTTAAATATCATATGCATTTTTACTAAACATTCTCCAACCACGAAATCAAATCCCTACAAACCAATGTTTTTTCCTCAAACCTTGAAAGTTTGACCCCACGAAAATATGTGATTTTACAGTATTTCTTTTCTATACAAAATAAGGTATGGTATGTATCTGGTCCAATAAAACTTGGTTCCAGTACAGAACCTTTATGTTTGTCAGATCAAATATCTGACAGCTCAGCCACTCAAAAAATTTACGACTCTGTCAAATACAATAATTACTTCATTACAGAGGTATTTTCCGAGAAAAATTCTGCTTGGAAAGTGGAATCAATCTCTTGGAGAACAAACCTTTTTCTGCCCATGATTTTAGAACACTGATCCCCAAAACATGATAAAAGATATTAACCTTCTCTGGGATCAATTTTATTTACAGGGTCATCAATCATAAATGTAAAATTGTAAATATATTATCTAATGGTCAACATGGTCAAATATTTTGTTTTTTAGTGATTTTGCAATATGAAATCACATTCATTTTTGGATATCATTCAAAAGTGTGCAATTACCATCGCCTGATGCCCGGGGCTACCAAATTTAGAGGTAGGGCTATTGTAAATCTATACTGCGTTAGGCCATCAGGCTAGAAAATCTAAAACGAAATTTAAAGTATATTTATGACTGAATTGATGAACGAATTTAATCATAATCTTTTATTCGTTTTTACCTATATGTATTGTGTGTTGCTATTGCCAGTCATCTCAGTGACAACTATAGTCGATAAACTATTAAGGCCATATAAAATTGAAATCTTGGTTCTCAGGCCCGCGCGCATCCGTTTTGAGGTAGCCGCGTTGCCGATTTTATTGTATTTTTGATAAAATAAAATAAAAAGTTGGTATTGCGGAGACCAATCCGGGAAAAAAATTTCCGACCTCATTTCTTTCGTAGTTTAGTATTCAAATATCACTTCCGGTCGCCATTTACAATGAGATTTTGGCTACTTCGTTTGAAAATACATTCGAGGACATTACCTATGATGTTTACACGCTGTTAAGCAATGGATAAAGCAGAAATTTTGACCAGAAATGGAAAGTCTATCTGTGATTAAAAAAATTATCTTTATGTTAAAGAAAATTCGGAAATTAAAATTAAAAAAAATACCTCCCTCATCTACTTGATTGCCAATAAAATGAAAAATAAAATGCCGCCCTCCCGCATCTGTTTTGGAGAAAATTGGCCTGAGAACCAGGGGATTAAATTTAGATTGCATAAACATAAGGAGAAGTACCTGGCAATAACAAAGCACAAACCATTTTATATATTTCAACTTAAATGATTTTTTTTAACCTTTTTTTATACTTATACATGTATTGTTTTCAGTAGTTAATGGGCTAGTGACTGGCAACCTCGGGCTACTAACTTTGTTACTGCCACCAGCCCGACCGGCTAGTAACTAATTTTTGTAATTGTACACCTGTCAATACCCAAACTGGATAGTGTACACATTTGATATCCCCAGTGGACAAGTTTTATAAAAGTATGTGTTATAGCTTAAAGGATTTCTTTCAAGTTCTGTCATACTAAAGACTTCGTGATATCAAAACAAGCACAATACACTACTGTCAGATATTTCCATAATCAAATGAACAGGTTGAGACCACATGCCCAATAGAAAAAAAACAGAAATTTTTATTTTGGTAATGTCATTAATCTGCATTAATATAATTTAAAAGGAATGACTTTTGGCTTGAGAAGTTTAGATTGGTCCCCAAGAAACTAGCCCCTTCACGACATCTTCAGTACTACACTTTGCAGGGCAAAATAATAACGTTTGGCAAAGTTTTTGCTGACAGATAATTAAATGATGTTTATTAAACAAATATTTACATTCAGTGTAATTTTCCTTATGAAATCCATTCGAAATCAACGACGTTCAAATTTCTATAACACACGCGAAACCTTGTCACCGCGCGTTAGAATACAGCAGGAACTATAAGCATTTTCAATACTCTAGGGACACCAAAATGTAAAATGATTTATTTCAATTTAATGAAAAACTATAACCCTGAAATATTAACGTAAAATTTGCGTTAAGAATTAATTTGTCACCTTTTTCCTCGCAATGTTTGTTTGCGTTATTTAACTTTGCAACATCATTTAACGTCATTTGACGTCACAAACGGCTCTTACATGTATTAACCACAGCAGTTATGGAAGGCGCTAAATTCACATTTAAGATGAACGAAATAAGCAATGATGAAGAAGGAAAATTAGAGAATGTAAATATAAGCATTGAATTCCTATTTTTGGATGTCTTCAGTCCTATAACACACCTGGCCATGCCAACAAATTATCATACCACGCTAACGCGCGGTATTCAATTTGTCGGCACGGCCAGGTGTGTTATAGGAACGAAGACATCCAAAAATATGAATTCAATGCTTAAATACTTTCACGTCATATTTCACCAAATTATATCATTTTCCCTGCAAAAGAGCAGTACCACAGTTGCCATGAAAGGGTCTATTCAAGAATTTCGAGAGATCTCAATCTCCTAAACAACGGGCATACAGAAAAATTTGTCAACCTAAAGTTATACGTATTAAGTATCTTGAATCTGATTTATGCAGTTTTAACATGTTTAATTTATAGATCTACTATGTTAAGCCAAAATCAAATTTTTCATATTTTGCACTGTAAACTTACTTCCCATTTCTGCGATTGGTCCTAACCTGTTGAAAGGGGATAGGAGCATAAGTGGAGGCATTATTTTATAATGAAAGAGTATATTGGGGTCATGTCCTTACCAATTTCAGGTGTTCGTTGAATGAAATAAGATTTAACTTAATGGCTTGATTTATATCCATTTTTTCCGACTTTATAAAAAAATCACAACTAACTACACAGATTTAATTTCATCGCCTTTCGCAGGCCGTCTCAAAACATAGCGGGGATTTACACACCATATCAAACATGGCGTTCCCCAACGTACCCTTCAAAACAGACCGAGCATTCATTCCGATTACTCGACACTCAATAAGTTTACATCCTACCTGGTGCTATAGGAAACATATTGGCATTATATGTTTACAGAAAATCTGTAAATGATGCCCTCAAAGGCTTCGATATATCTCTCTGACTTGGTATTTTTTGAGCAATGATCACTTCTATGACTAGTATCAAAGGGGGCGCCTCGATCGCAGCGCGACACCTATATCCGGGGAGAGTTATCAGCCTTGGAACAGGCGCGAGAATATTGACTTTGACTGCTTTTGGCGCTAATTTTGACATTTTAATCAACCAGGCAGCATATGTACATCATTATTTTAAAATATAAAAACACTTCAAAACAATGCAGTTTTAACATAAACTTGTTTTAAGAAAAGTTATTCAAATGCGAATGTCAGCTGATTTCATATTTTAAGATTAAGAAGGGGGGATGTAAGAAGGGGAAACTGAGAAAATGAAGCAACCCAAAATACCAGACAAGAACTTTTTCCACCAAATATGCATACATTTTTTCTAGGTGGAAATCAAATTGTTGTTATTTTACTTAGCAGTTAAAAAACTGGAAAATTGTATAACATCAACATAAATTATTCCAATCAACAGCTGATCAATATATATATATTATGTTAAATTACATGAAAGAATACATGGGTGCTGACCTTTTCATTTTTGAATTTTTCTAAATTATCGGATATGATAATTAACTCTTTTTTTGCATGTTAACAAAGTTTTGTTGCTTCTCGACATATAGATCGATGCTGATGTTGACTCATGCAGCTAGTATCTTGCGTGTATGCGTAAACTAATTCCCACTTAGCCAACATTTTGAAAAATCCTATTCCCACATAGCCAACATTTTTATTTTTACACCTGAGTGATTAATAGGCTATAGTCTGTTTTCTGGTATGCATGTGTATGAATTACCTGAGAATTAATTCCTTTGGGAAATGAAAACAGTGTGAACATATACCAACCAGAGGTAAAATTTGAGTCAAAATAAATATAAAATTAAAGAAAAAAATAAAGTTCAATAATTTTTAATGTAAAAAAAGTAGTAAAATTTTACTAGAAAATTAATTAATTCAAAAAGTAATTAGTTTAAATTAATAAATAGAATCTTAATATTATTTAAATAAATAAAGGGAAAAAAAAGAATTTTTTTTACCACACAGGATATTTTATTAGAAAATAAACAAAAACAATTAAGACACTCTGAAGAAACAATTACATGTGTATGAATAATCATTAAAAGTGGTTGTGTTTATACTAGTAAAAATGCTTGTACATAACACAACCAATAAACAAGTTAAGTAGATAATTATTTTATAAATGATTATTATTGAATGTTTTAAAGGATATAAGGTAGATGAGCATATATAATTATCATCAATAATTTACAGAAGTTTATGTCTTATTTATTACTGTGAGATGTGAAAAAAAACCATAATAAAATATAATTACTTTACACAAGCGTTTTTCTTGAAGGTTTGAAGTTTATATTTGAAATACAATAGTACATGTATCGATCTCTAAAAATAAATTAACTTAGTTTTCATATTTATATTTACAGATAAAAAAAATTAACGTAAGCATTTATTATTCTAGGTTAACATCAAAGTATTGGTATAATTAATTAAATTCTTTAGAGAAAGAGAATTTCTTATTCATTTCATATTTTAAATAAGAAGACATCTAAAAAAGTGTTAAAAATAATGAAATTCCTAAAAAAAAAAAATCTTTGTTTTAAAAAGTTTTAAAAAATTATTTAATATTTTTATATGAACTATTCAATATTTAATTTATGAGAAGAAAACATTTAATTATTTTATATTACTAGTATTCTTATGAATTATTTACTCTTTATTCAGCCTATATATATAGCTAAAACAGACTATAGCCTACCTGTAATTTATTTCTTTTGTTCTCCACCTGTACCCCATTCCCACTTAGCCAACACAGATTTACCTGTTTTTTACCTGTATTTTTTCTAAATGTTGACTAAGTGGGAAGACACCTTTTAGGTTTCCAATTAAAATATATTCAATTTGATACATGTTGCGTGTTGATATATTTCTTGCATGTATACATAATTAAAAAAATAATAACCTGCAAATAGGGGAGATAATATATGCCACCATTATGACATTCGATAAATATATGTTTATTGCTAAAATGATTTTCGTCAAACTAACATGACAAATGATTATTTGTTAACAATATAGGTCATAGTCTTTAACTTATGACATGAACGATTATGCAAGCGATGATAACTTCATCCATTATAATTTATCCACGTTGGGTGTAACTGGTTAACAGGGGATGCTTACTCCCCAATGTCATCTGATCCCGCCTCTGTTTTGTTCGTTGTAACACATTATTAATTTGTTATATCAAATTATTAATTTGTTAAAACAAATTAGTAATTTGATAAAACAAATTACTATTTTTGACAAAATTTGAAATGTATACAGATCTACGAAAGCCAGATCATATCAAAAATCTTAGTATAAGTCGGATTTCTGAAAATAATTTGCAACTGTCAAAGCTTTAGTTAATAAGGCTTTAGTTGAACTATTGAGAGCTTTTCCAGCAGGCTCTTTTTTGTTATAAAAATTTCACGCATACAAAAGAATTGAATGACACAATAGGTATTTAATATTAAATTTTACCAAGCGCTACCCACTCAAGAATATTGTGGGTTTTTTCTTTCGTTTTCCGAGGAAGGTTGTGATTTTGTTCTTTATACCTGAAGTGGGTTGAAGAGCAGGCATAAATGCCTGTCGAAATGCAGTATTCAAAGTAGATCATGTCACATGTAAAGAAAGAATCCAGAGAGAGAGAGAGAGAGAGAGAGAGAGAGAGAGAGAGTTAAAATAAACAAAAGCAAAATACAAATAAAACGATTTATTAAATAAGATATTTTTCCTAGCATACGAATCGAGTGTTGTGACCGAACAGAGTCGGAAGGGGGGGGGGGATGGGGGTTGGGGGGTGGAGTGGGTATGGACAAAGTTTCATTAAAGCTTCTAAGAATAAAATATAAGGAACAGAATCAAGGACTTTGATGCAATTTATCATAACATTGATGTTTGAAGTGAAAACTCTGAGCTGCTGAAAGAAACATATAGGTCAAAAGCTCTGCAGAGCGTGTGCTTAAATTATTGTTTCACTAATTCAAAATCTTAAAGATTTCTAATCTGATATAGATTCCATAGTTTTGTGTACATGTCAAATGTCCAAAAATAGTAATTTGTTATAGCAGATTAATAATTTGTTATAACAGATTGATAAAATGTTATAACAGATTATTAATTTGTTATAACAAATTAGTAATTTGTTATAGCAAATTAATGTTTTGTTATAACAAATTAATGTTTTGTTATAACAAATTGATAATTTGTTATATCAAATTATTAATTTGTTGAATCAAATTACTAATATGTTTTAACAAATTGATAATTTGTTATATCAAATTGATAATTTGTTATAACAAATTATTAATTTGTTATAACAAATTACTAATTTGTTATAACAAATTAATAAAAGATACTGCTGCGGCCCTAATACGCTTCCGTAATTTCGTTATCTTCACATTTCATTATCAAAGGTAACAATTTTCAAATATTCTTGGTCGATATTCAAACCAAATATATCTATACTTTTCTTAACGCTCTAATTCCCTTATCAGTGATTACCAGAAGTTCCACAATGGCGGGGATCAGTCATTATTTTGTCACTGTGGCAGCCTTCGCTTCCTCTGTAAACTGTTTTCTAGCGGACAGCCCCTGTCATTTTGACACTACAGCGGTCGGGACGGCCGCATCAGGGTAACAGTATCTGTATTTACTTTTATTTATTGAAATAATCTTCTGTTATTACAAAAGGGTCACTGACCGTATAAATACATATATACATATGATGAGGTATTCCATGTGTCTCGCGCAGAGGGCAAAGGCGATTTAGCGTGGGCTCAGCCCCCTCTCCGCCTTTTTTGCTGGATTTTCAGAGTTATTTAACTTACACGATAATTATTTAAAAGTTAATAAAAAATAAGAAATCCTTGGAAACATCATGCATGTCGTCCTGTAAATATTGTTCTATTCCATAACTTAATTTTACATACAACCATTCACTGTCCAGGATTAAACCGATTGAAGGGTCTGGGAGTAGAGGGTATTAGGCTTTAATATACTACTCCAAATTTGATAAGGATCATAGATCGATAATCTTCTGTTTATAAAATTAATAACAAAATAAATGGCAAAATTCTGTTCAAGTGAAATCAAAAAGTCTTCAACAACTTTGCACGTGCATTTCATGCTATGGGAAATGCGTTTCTCATCACAGTTTATGCTTTTGCTACCATTGCACGATTTTATTCGGGCATCGGTGCTTGATTCTTTCTAAGATTTAAAACTCACTTCAGTGTTTACACTACATTTATCAACACAATGGCCCCTCAACGCGTAAGGTGTCGCCTGACGACAGAACAACTGGGCATATATATTGGAATGCTTGACGCTGGCTATTCGCAACGTATCGTTGCAAATGCACTAAACGTAAGCCAAAACGTTGTAAGCAGGGCCTGAAATAGGCAGCAAACTCTTGGCAAAGCAGCACACCGACATGGGAGTGGTCGTCAGAGGCCGACAACCCAAGCCCAAGCCCATTTTGTGGCTCTTCAGGCACGACGCCATCCCTGCTGGACGGCAACCAGCCTTTGTAACGACCTCCTGGTCATGAACGCCTCGTTAGTTATTATGTTAGTGGTAAAATACACACATATAACCTAGTGATCATTATCAATTCAAACCATGCTGCAGATAGATAGTTTTCATTAGTCCCAAATTAACAAGAGTTATTTCTCGTTAGTCGCCATATTGGGGGTCAACCTGCTCATATTCCTTCAGCATTCAACCAACTTTAACTTTTTATACTGGCAATTGTCGAGTAGGAAGCATTGCTATTCTGAAAAATATAAAGGAGTATTCCACTTAAGTATAGTAGCGTGGTCCCTTTTTACACCCTTGGTTTACTGCATAGATAGTAGGATTGGGTATTTTGTTTGATTTCATTGTGTATAATAAAGTATTTCTAATAATATGATTGTGCATTCATAATGAATTATCAAATACATCAAAAAATACAAGACAATTTTTAACACCCATCGCGCTAAAAATTGCCGGAACTTGTCCCATCCATCAGACTACGGTTTTTCTGTTATATGTAAATGGGCGGAAACATTTAGATTAGATACTATAAAAAGATATTATATGTTAAAGATTCACAATCAACAACTAAAACAATTTTCTATTCATTTCACAAAACTCATAGCAATGTGAATGAACCACGATAACAAGATTAACCAAACAAGTCCATATGCTGACCGATACATGATCGACTGAGTACATTTCAACTGAGTGCTTGCTACCACGTTTACTGTGGGCATTTACCTGTAACGACACAAATCCACGTGGCTTGTTGTGATTCGAGCCAGGTCATAAGAGGTTAATCGCATGTAAATGAAGATAGCGAAGAGTTTCAAAATCACAATACTTTTACTTAGAAAGCATAGAGCACAAGGTTGTTCAACAAAGATATTTTTACTCATGCTTTACCCATATAATATACACATTATATATCAATCTCGACACTGAACAAACATGTGCTCGGTGTTTACGAAAGCTTGAAAGTGTGTACCTGTCAGTGATTTCTTTTGATATTCATGAAAATCAAAGGACCCGAACTTCAAAACACAGCTTCGTATGCTGCGTATATCTATTATTTGACATTTTTAGATGAAGATTCAAATAATAAAGACATTAGTTATTAAGAACATTTAATTTTTAAAGCCTTTGATAAATGTTCGAAATTTGACGAGTAACCGGGGACCACAGATAAGCCGTAAATGAGAATTTTCCTTTGTTAGAGCCTCCTTGATTTAATGATTTTTATTCCATAAAGATTTTCCCCATAATATTTCTGCTACACCCTCTCAAATTTGGTACGACAAAGCAGGAAAAATTAGCAGGTTGACCATTAAAATGTCGGCCGAGGGAAATAACTCGGAGAGAAAATACATCAAATGAAAACTATCTAGTTGTAAATATCAAATTAGTTATAATAAGGACAGATTTTCATGATTAGGTCGTAGAAAACACAAGCAAGAAGGATAAGGAGAAGGGAAATCAGTGAGACCTTGGCTATCACCCTGACAAACAGTCTTAATGAGGTCCTTGACAATATCTGCCAGTAGACACCCTTTGAAGATCGAACAACTTGATGGAACAAAGACAATTGAAGGGAATCTTAAGCTTATTTATATGGAAAACTAGAAAGACAAGACAAAATAGGTTTTCTGTAACAAAACATGTGCAACAGGTTGTTAACTGTGAGGATTAGTACAAGAAACAGAAATCAGAAGACAGTTACACTATACTTAATAGAATAACGAAGTGAAAAAGTTCAGATATTGGTGAGAGATTCTTGTATAATACACTAGCCTCAGAAGCCGAGGAGGAGGCTAAAAGACCTCAGCACAATGTTAAAATCACAAGAACACTTGCTTGGAAGAAATCACCGCAGACCAACTAGCGATGGATGACGAGGCAGGGAACCCTACCACAAAAGGTGAAGTGAAGAGAAATCGGTGGGTGAATCACTCAAGAGAACTCCTAAACAAACCATCAAGAATAAAAAGACAAACACACTATATTAGAAGTAAGTAGTAAAGTATAAGAAAAGTGTAAAGAGAGATAGCTGTGATCATGTTCCCTTCACAAGAGTCGAGACTTCTTAGGCTAAGAAGAAATCGAAGAACGGAAAAGTAGCCGAGCCTGGCGAGATTCCTCTGCAAGTCATTGGGGAAAATATGATGACAATACACTTCCTGCACTAAACTATGGCCTTAAGGGAAGGTACCAGTCGATGGGAATAAAAGACATCTGATGAAAATCCCCAAGAGAAAAGACAAGGAACAAAACACAATCGCCTGCGCATCATTCTTCTCTCCATTCCAATCAGGATTCTGAAATTGTATTATCGTAGTAAGGCAAAAAGTTACCACAGATAAAAGAATTCAATCAGAACAAACCGGTTAAGAAAAAAGTCATGTGCAGAGCAGACGCCACATGGTAATTGACCAGTCGTTATACAGTATCTTAATTTCATCAACTTTCAGAAGGCCTTTGATTTATGATTCGATATGCAAGAGCATGCTCTACGTTTGAACAATTTCTAAAACGAGGTAAATTATTCACAAACAAGTTGATGAAACAAGAATATCAGCAGTCTTGTTTAAAGTCATCTTCTTGTAAGTTCTATGGTCGATAATGAACTTGTCAGCAAATACAATTTATCATTGAGTCAAATGCTGACTGGCGGTTTTCATACTAATTGTTCGTCCATTATTTAAGCTCTGATCATGATTCGACGACGGATTTTTCCTTTATTTCCCGATCATGACAAGGAACACACGGCGGATGAGACCGGTCGGCAGGGGATACTGACTCCTCCATGGTACCTGATCCTACCTCTGATATTTTGGAGGTCCTTGTTTGCTCTGCTCCTATTTTGTATTGTTTTATGGACTTTTGGTCTTGAATACTATTCGTTATCTCCATATGTTTTATAGAAGAAACATATGGAACCTACTCCTTGACAAGGAAATTCCAACCACCTTAACAACTTCATACAATAATAATTGTATGATAACGCTACGTGCCATTCATCAACATCGGTAAGCTCACAGAAGCCAGTGAAGTGCAGATAGATGTTAGAGAATTCTGCTTGCTGTCATCGAGATGTTGTTGGACTGGGTCATGCTTGTTACTTTGTGTTTGAAGGACATTGACTTTGCTGACGATCAAAGTTATGTTCCCAAAAATATGTGCACAAGCAGCTAAAACGAGACAGCGTTGTCAAGGTAGCAATTGAAAAACAGGTCCTCAGGTCAACAGTGACATGACAAATGTCATGTGTCTGAACAGAAGACAGCATACACCAACCACTCTTGGAGAGCATAACGTGACAGATTCAGACTCCTTTAAATAATTAAGCAATATTGTCTCAGCCACTGATGAATCACATGGAGACTTGATAGACATTAAAGCAAGGATTAGAAATTTCACAAGCAACAAGCTCCGTATTTGCAACTAAATTTAAGAAGTATGTGCTCCTCTAAGAATTTGAAATGTGGAATTTGTCACCAACACCAAAGTGTATATCCAATAAATTAAAACCTATTCTACACAAACACCTTCATAAACATTTGTCTGTGCCACATACTTAACAACAGAAAGCCGGTAAAAATCTCTCCTTGGAAATGATGATGGATTAAGAACATATTCAAAAACCATCGGGGGATTTAAAACGTCATGCTCTATAGAATGGAACCTCTGTGGGAATCGTCAGGTTGAACGTCCCAGGTCAACACAGATCTGGGGCAACTGAAAACCCCAACAAAAAACAGAGTGTGCTGGCAGACTTTAACAGGGCTGAAATTTTTGACCCGTACTCGGCACTTAAGACCTTTCACCACTGGAAGGTCTTTTTCGTACCAACACTTACTGCTACAATGACCCTGGTTTATATGGTCTCATCTGAATAACGGTCACATCTGAAATTCGTCGCCTGCGTGGCACAGTACGTGGTTAAAGTGTCTGCTCTTAAATCGCAGAGTAAGGAGTTGGTCCTTGCGTCGCTGTGGGACGTGGTGACCGGTCCTTCTGATGTGACCGTATAAATGGAGGTCCCGTATCGCAGGTATTGGCACGAGAAAGATTCCTCACTGCTCAATGATCCTAAGAGGTCTGAATTTGTAGGCCTTCAGCGACAAGTGGTGGCGTTTCCAAAGGAGTGATAAATTCTCAAGAGGGACATTAAACAACAAACAAACAATCCGAATAACAGTTTAACGTCCCACTGAGGGATCTGAGCCCGAGTCGTAAGAATCAAATTCGTACTCGGCGACTCAAAAACAGACACCCAAACCAACGCGGACGACGCATTGGAAATAAATGATACTTCGGGTCAGGCATAGTAAAAAAATGATTCCAGTAAGGTACGTTGAATGCGGATGAAAAATAATGACGGAATGCACAGGAGCTAACCGATAAGAAGACAATAAAGTTGGAATATAGAAAATAATGAAGAGAATACTGGATCCTGGATACTGGACATGCATGGAGTACAAGATGGGACAGGGAATATAGGATGGTACACATGGGGGGGAGCACAGGATGAGGTTGGGATTAAAAAGATATTCTCTTAAGATAGGATCAAGCAGATACTAAGGGATAAGATCGAGGAAAGTTGTATGATGTAGAGAATAAAATCAAATATTATAGAAAAAGAATCGTACTGGGTACAAAGGAAAAGAAATGGATACAGAGAAAAAAAAAGTTGAAGTGCGGGAATGTGGAGAGTTTGTATGCAAAGTTTTAGACCAAGAAGGGTCATACAAAGGTAAGCTTTCGAAAGCCTATGGAAACAGACGGGAATTACAGAAAGCTAGGTGTTGACATCGATGAACTTCCTATAGTGGTGGTCAACTTAAGCATGCGGGAAACCACACAAGATGGCAAGAAATGTGTCCAGTTAATCTTTACTCAATGTTTTGAAAACAACGTCTTTGCTAAAAACACCTAAAAGAGATTTGAGTACAGAGGAAATGTTTGGGATATCAAGGATAATGTAGTAAAACTAGATAGTGCTATGATGAAGAGAACAAGACAGGGGAATAGAAAGTTATAGGGCGTATATAAAAGACTGAGACTGAGCGGTATAGAAGATGAATTGGGGATGTACCTACTTACTGTAGAATGTAAGCGTGACAAAGGATTGAAGAACTGAGAGTCTGAAGAAGAGGATTAAGTGATGAATGGATCGTGACGTAGAGGGTATGTCAGATTGGAGAGGATATAGAAGTGGAGAGCTGATGATACTATCAGAGGGTAGAAAATCTGGCTGTGCAGGAGTGGTTAAAAGAAAACAAAAGTCTTGGCTGGCTTACGAAAGGGATGAAATGAAGAATTAAAAAACTTATATAGGGTATGCACGAGCATAGGGTAATAGACTTAGGACAATCAGTCGAAATCAAAATTTATTTTTCAAGGTTTATATAGCATTGCAGAGATAAAAAAATTGGACGATGTCATAGAATATAATGTTCGTGTATTGAGGAAAGTAGAGATAATAAAAGAGTTGGAATGGTGAAAATAGAACAAAAACGTTGAGAATAGGATATGCTATCTATGACTGTCTTGATTTACAAAATGAAATAAATGCTCAAATCAAGTTCATCATGCAGAATAATATCGAGAGGAGGAGACGCTTATGCAGAAGGAAGTTTCATTAAAAATGATCTTTTTTTAGTTTGAAGCGGCAATCTCATAAGCACTGCATGTTTGCTTGAAAAAAAAATTTTTTTGGCCTACGTACCTCAAAAACATGGGCATTCACAACTTCCCGTACAGGTTTTGCTATTTGAAAAGTTCTTAAAATGCAGATAGACATAAGGACATAAATACATGTACTCGCAAAATGAGTAGTTGCTATTCCCACTCAGTGACTTCTTTTTCTTTTGATTAAGAACGAGAAGAGTTTGAAGGCATCAAATACGAGGGTTGATTCAAAAGTAATGTCACAACTTTGATAGAATTGCTATAAATCGACGTAAAGCAACAAAATTATACATGATGGAGGCTTTATTTATTTCAAATCAGATCTGAAAAGTTCAAAGGAATATGATGTATACTTTTCAAAATATCGGATTTTAAACAATGCGCGTTTATGGTAGTCGCCGCACCTAAATGTAATGTCATTTGAGGATACACACCGTCATACTTTTAAGCGTTTCCCCTTCTTTTCAAAAAAATATTTGTGATTCGCAAACACTTTCACCAATTCCACTTTCTTCAAGAATTCTTGGTACTATTATACACTAACTCTTTTCATAATTCATCCCTCTGTCAAAATTTTTTGAATAGTAGCATAAGACAAACTTAAAAATTCGCATATCACTCTATGGGCGTATTTGATTTAAACACGAGCTGCAACTCTCGAGTCAGATTTCTTAATCAAACACCTCGAACACGACGCGTGTGATGTAGAATTAGGTCAAGAACATACTCTCCAATTTTACAAGAGTGAACAAGAACAAAGATGGCTGACAATATCAACAATGGAGGGAAAGTGATGTGAGGCAGATGTTTGGTTGAGATTTTAGAAATAAATCAACATTTTAATTAGTAATTAAGGATATTGTCTAATATTTCAGAACCGGAGGCATAAAAATATTGTTTTACTTAAATTTCCGCCACATTACATTTGTTATTCATAGTGTTTAGATAGAAAAAAAATAAACAATAGATATGTGTCAATTCCTCCAATATCGCCCTTTTCCTCACTTTTCCAAAAAAATCATAAATTTAAAGAAAAGCAAAACAACGTCCATTTTCAATGCACTCGAGTCGTGTTCTTGCCGTTTGATTAAAACGATACTGTGTTTGTTTGTGCGCATGCTCAATATGAACCCGACTCAACACTAGAGTTGACAAATCAAATACGCCCTATATGTCTGTCTTTTTTGACAACGTCAGACACCATTGAACGTTTCCGTCCGATCTCCTATCTTCTGGTCTTCTTGTCCTCTGCTAATCATTCAGTGACCAATCACCCGCCCAAAATTGCTGATGATTCCCATATTTTGAAGCAAAAATATATTACAACTCATCTAGTCTTTTTTCCCACTTGTTTAATTTCCCTTTGTTCAATTCAACAGAGTAAAACAACAATATTTATGATCACATATACCAATGCCGTCATTTGATTTTCAATTAAAGACTAGAAAATGACGAGAATTGTGTATTTAAAAAAATTGGGAAATTAGGTGCTTTTTAGAATCTTTTTAATGTGTTTGTCTTTTTCATTCTAAGAATAAATACACTTTAAAACGTGACGTTCCGTTGTGACCCGGCGACACTCTCTATGCTCTATGTTTTTAACATCTATAAAATAAATTCAAATAAACATTATTAAATTAAAATTTTAATGTTAATTAGATTTATATTTGTGCATCTTTTGGTATATTGTATTTAATAATATGACGCCAAATATAAAAGATATGGACACTGTGACATTACTTTTGGATCAACCCTCGAGAAGAAATCACCAACTAAAACAATAAATTATTATAAAAAAAAATTCGAAATTCGTCTCATCCATTTGTAAATCTTTTGTAATGTTTTCTTTTGTACATTATGCTTTTGATAATTTCCATCCCTTTAGACATGTTGAAACGGACCTGACGAATCGCCCCACCTGTCGGAGCGGCCAGATAGAGTGGCATTATACCTACCCCTACCTGCTAGTAACATTTGGTGGGAGTGGCCTCCCTTACACTGCGTGTATCAAGCCAAACTTTATCACTGATGGATTCCAGTTTTATTTTGTTACAGACGGTCAGGAACTTCTCCTTACGTCACATAGGGAAGGTCAAGGTAGGTCACACAAATGTCAAGGTTGATAGTTAAAACTCATATTTAAAACAAAAAACCTTTATATTTATTGTAATCGCAATGTAAGTTTGACACTGTAATTCACTAAATTACTTTGCAATTAATAATGTTATAAATCATGGAATCTATTATAAATCTATATAAAATTATAAATCTATATGAAATTGAAACATTGTAAGCTGTACAAAGAGCAACATATCGTTCTATTTTTATTATTTTTTTGTAAAATCATTTTCTAGACGTATGGTGGTGCCAGAGATCTAACAAGGGAGACAATCTGATAATTAAAGTCAAACCGATAACCACTTATTACGTGGGTGTGTTCGATTTTGCCATACACTGAAGACTATCGTTATGTAAATCAAGTAAATCAATTAAACACGTATATTAAAACCACTTGCAAATACACAATGCGATTTGTCATTCTTTATACTCAGTAATTGCCAGATTTTATCGTATTTCACATTGATCAATTAGTGTAGTGAAGTGAATATCATTTTGTATTGGACTTGTTCTCATTTATCTATTACTGTTTGATTAGATTTTTCCATTAATGGACATTAAGATATTAGCAAGTCACAAAGCAAACCATTAGGAAAGTTTCAGTTAAACACCCGAAAGACTAAATGTTTAAAGTTGTTCTCTTCACTTGTTGCATTCAGAAGCAGGTTTCCACAGCGTTTGGTCCTATTTTTATTACGTATAGATTTACCACTGAAGCAAGATGAACGTATCCTACAGGTTCTGATTGAAAAGAATTTCAAGAATATTTAAAGGATACCTTCCATCGAAATAAAATATTGTTGGATCTCAAACCTCGATGGTAAATTATAAAGATGATCCCCATCGTTTTAATCAGAATGGATCACAGTCATAAACCTCTCCCGCTGGATTCATTACATACCAGTAACTGACAGACCTAGTGATTCACTTTCCCTCAAAATATTTATAACATGATGCACTGATTTGTACAGCAGGTCTTCAAGTACTTAGGGAAACATTTCCGGAACTCAGCAATCCGCAGTGAGAGGATTTCTACATTAGTTTCTCACATGTAGCTTCGCCAGTATAGACAACATTTTATCATGTCTCCATATTTAAAGGATTTATAGAGATTTAAGTCAATTCAGGTAAGATTATATAAATGAATACAGTAAAATTAAATCCAATTAAGGAGAATTATTAATATTATATTTAAAACAGCTGAATGAGACTGTGCGGCAAGTTATAATCTCTTCTCATTTCATTGATATTTTTTGACATTTTAGTATTCAAAAACATACTTTCTGTTAAAACTTTTGCAGATACATGTATGACATAAAATATCAACTTTAATTTGATTTAAACATTTGTTATATATATCTAATGGTTATTCAAAAATAAATTTAATTTTTATTTTCTTCAAATGATTTACTTTTATCACTTGGAATATTCATACATGTATATTAATTCTGAGTTATACTGTATATTTGTTAGCATGTTATTAAAAATATTTTTTTTAAGATCACATTGATTCTTTGCTAAAAACTAGTCTCATAAAATGTATTATATCAAAAATCATTTTTTAACACCATTTTAGGTTTACAAAGAATACTGCAGACTGTGTCAATAAGCCCCAATGTCGATTCTTTAAACCATTTGATAAGAAATGAAGAAAGTAAATTTTCTGATATTTTTGAAACAGAAAACACGAAATTTACAGTATCTACAATAATTTGCAGCTCAGCTATTCTGGCGGATGGGTAATTATAAAGGGTCAAGTGTCCCTTGACCTACAACTTCCGTCTGTTATTTGGTCTTGCTCTTATTTGTTTGAATTAATTTTCTCGTTCTTCTTTAAAAAGTCTTCAAAAGGAATCTGTTCGAAAAGAGAAAGAAATCTTTATAAATATACCTATTGTGATCAACTAATTTGATTTTTCGTGAATGAATTCACATTTAAAAGCAGCTTTTGGTCAAACTGCAACAATACTGGAAAACTTTGTAGGTTTTACTAAAAACATTTAAGTAGACTGATATAAGAATTTGCTTTAAATACAGACAAGAACAAGTATCCCATATTTAGTAAGGAGGTGCTGATATATGTTGATTTCTGTTATCTGAAGCACATGTACTTACCAGCAGGAGTGGTACTTACCAAGATTATAACGTCTCATGTCCTCAAAGTCATCGGGATTTCCAGTCAAGGCTGTTAAAAAGACAATTTCTTATCGATAAAAATGTTTTGCAACTTTATTGATTACAAAGTATGCACTCCAAGTAACAGGGAAAAAGGATATTGTGAAAATACAGCTAACTTTTACTTTTCCTTTAAGAAAGTTAGTGACGAATAATTCATAAATTCAATGAAAGGGAGAATCAAGGATTAGAAGACACATGTAAGTGGTGAAATTTATCGGTCGGCAGGGGATGCTCACTCCTCTATGGCACCTGATCCCACCTCTGCTGTTCTGGAGGTCCGTGTATACTCTGCTCCTATTTTGTATTGTTTTATGGACTTTGATATTGAATACTGTTCGTTATCTCCATATCCTTCATCTGCTTGTTTTAACATCACTTGAAGTCAGATGAAATACAAAATTTAGACCCAAATTAAATATCCAGCCTAGATCAGGTTGTACCATCGGTTTATCAGATTTAACGAATTATTAAGCCTGAATAAACTCGAGTCTAGTTAACGTTATACAATAACTGTTTATAGGAACTACACAAAAAATATTATGTATGTAGTTGCAGGTAGAAATATCAATATCAACTATGGCTATAAAACCAGGCCAGTTTCTTACTCCTTGTTGTTAGAGGGATGCAAGAAAAGTCTTGAATACATTAATAAAAAGCATTGAATGTTGCATAGTTATATATCGAAGTACAAAATTATATGCTACTTCATCTATTCTTATTTCAGACAACTTTTGAAATGGATTATAACCATACAAATGGAACTGGTGGTTGGTTTACGAACACCTCTTTTCAAAATTTGACCAGGAATGATTCTGAAAGTGAAATCTTCTTTCTTCATCGGACTCCATTTTTTATTTCTTCTGGACCAGTGTTTGATGAGGTTAGCCACAACTTTATGACATCTGTGTTGCTACCTTCCCTTGTGTACGTCAGTATTCTGCTTCTTGTTGGTATTCCAGGAAATCTCATGGTTGTTTATGTGTACTCTTTACAATGGCCAGGGTGTGCAAGCACATCACGAGTGTTTATTTTAGCATTGGGATGTTATGATTTACTCAATTGTTTATCATCTTTAACGACAGAAATTGTGCTTCTATCTCGTTTCCTGGATTTTGACTTTCCAGTTTGGTGTAAACTATCAAGATTTGTGACAGCTTCTATTAACAGTGGCTCCACATTTATTCTCGTTGCCATCGCAACGGACCGCTTCCTTAGGATCTGTAGGATACACAAGGACCCGATCTCAGTGGATCTGGCCAGGAACCTCGTTATCATTTCTATATTCTTTGCTGCCATGACGTCATGGCCTGCGCTGCTACTTTATGGCACGTTTACGGTGACATTTCCACTGAAACAATTCATATATATTAGAGGAAAAACTTGTTTAATATCAGACAGTATGACAGAAACGATATATCCTTTAATATTTGTAATATTTTTGCTCTCTTCTCATTTTATGGTCGATTTAGTTCTCATTATCCTATATTCTTTCGTTGGACAAGCAGTTTTCCGCCAACAAAAGTTCCAAAAGTCTGTAAAAACAAAATCTGTTGCAGGCAAGGTTCCCAAAGCCGAAAATGAAAACAAGGTAGAGGCATGGCAGACTAGCTTTACAGCAGACGACTTAGAGAAAAACCCACAACCGCTGAAGCAATCAAGAGCAAGAACATCAAATAGAATCTCCTTTGTGTTTTGGAAAAAATTATCCCTGAATTCTAAAAAAGCGAAATTGAACAATAAACTTTCAAGTCCAGACAAGGAATTAATGAAAGAACTTAAGGACTCGTTAAAAACTCGCTCGTCGACAGATTCAAACGCTCCCAAGTCCAAAAGGAAGATTCATGCGGGAAAGACCACGTTAATGCTATTCCTGGTCACCTTACTGTTTATTTTATCGTTCTTACCTTACTCCATAGTCGTTATTCTACGATACACGGATCCAGAATTCTACACCCGTTTGACCGCTGTGGGTAAAGGAGTGTATAATGTCGTACTTCGTTCATACTTTCTGAATTCTGTTGTGAATCCCGTTGTGTACTGCTTCATCAGTAAACAGTTCCGAAAACGAAGCAAAGACGCTCTCCGTTCTCTTCTGTGCTGTGAACGCTATCAGTAGTCATCAATGATACGTGTGCGTCAATTATTGTAACGTGACAAACATATTGAGGTTAAACTGATACCTGAATTTCAAGTTAAAAACCCAACCTATTTATTGACGCCATACGCGTTAAAGATTTTTAAGTCAGGGATTTTATTCATTCGACAAGGTATCGAGAGATTGAAATGATCTTGAAAATACTTTTTATTTTAGTGCTAATTCATAAAGATATAACGATGATAATGGATAACATAAAGGGGTGCAATGCATCGATTGTCCTGATGTCGACTAAAGAAAATACACCACTTTCAAGAATTCATAATACATGTACATGTACATCATATTGATGACTTACAAAACCTCCTATATTAAGGTGAATAGTTATGCACGAATCTAGATAATGAATAGCATTGCTTTAAAGATACATTATACTATTTTGTATTTTTAAGAAGATTTTTGTGATTGAACATTGTTCGTTTTCTTTACCTGTTACACACTAAAATGAATATAATGTATTTCAGCCATTTGAAAGTAGAATGAAAAATACGTCCCAACATCAAATAGTATTCAAGCTTTAAACTCTATATGAACAATAAAAATCAGGAGCAGAGCAGACACGGACCTCTAAACCATCAGATGTGAGATCAGGTTCCATGGAGGTTTGAGCATCCCCTGCCAACCAGTCACACCCGCCGTATATGCTCCTTTGTCATGACAGGGAAATATCGGAAAATTCGTTAATTTAGTGAGTAAATAATGGCCTAACAATTAGTATTAAAACGTTAGTCAGTATTATATCGACTATTGAATGAAATTTTCAATATTCAAGCTCAAAACGTAGCGAAGTGTTACGAACTTATAAAATGATGACATTAAACGAGCCCGCCATTAACCTGTTTGCCAATAATATGATTCATTTTAAAAATTGTTCATTCGAGCATGCCCTTGCATGTGGAGTAAACTGTGAGATATACACCCCGTACACTGGTGATAAGCGTATATTGCTGCACTAGTAAGGGAAGTTGACGAATAAAAACTGGAAATCCTCATGATTATCATAAATCTGCTTATTAGATTTCACTTAACGCCTTTTCAAGTAAAATATCCTTATATAAAACACACTTGTCATAGACTCTGTGATATCTTTTATTTCAAGCTCACTGAGATGTATCATGCCGACATAAGGATGGAAATAACCATTGACAATACCTCGGGTAGAAAATTCTAGATTGTCACTATATGCTTTACATTTCGCGGAAAGTTTGTGACTGCGTACATAGCGTAAATTAATACCACGCGGAAAAAAGTACTTCTACGCTAACCATTGACATCATCTCGTCGATATATCTAAAGTAGAACATTTACTTGAAACCGCAATGTATCTTTGTTAGAATAAAGTTTTATTTATTAGTTTTTATCAATTATAGGTAAGATAATTCAGTTTGATTTTGATTATTGGAAATATTACAAATTATCAAAACTGACATGACTTTGAAGAATTTTCTCCTTAGAAAAGGATTCATGGGTATATGTTCGATTTGTATCGAAATGTTTTTTTTAAAGGACAGAGATCTTGTCAAAAACAAATAAATAAGTATTGTTATAAACTCTCTCACTTGTTATATAAATCAATGTGACAATGGTAAAGCCTGCCGAATTTGTCCCAAATATTTTACTTCTCAAAAACTAAGTGCCTCCGTAGCCACTTCATATGTTTATATCGTCAGTGTGTGCCATACTTTCAGTTTACTTACAACTACGATAATCCCAACTAAAGTGTTTATAAGAAAGCCTGACACTTGTAAATTCTTGTTATTTTATAAAGGCAACATATATATTATACTGAAAATGTTTATGTTAAACTTAAACAATTCATAACGGAAAAACTGCTCATGTTTTTCTTCAGATAGTTTTTTGTTAAATTATTTATGCATTTCATCATTTATGCAATAGCATATAAGATGAAATGATGGAACCCGTGTATTTGCATTTTTTTTTTTACAATTGTATACAAGTAAGATAAATTGATCAAATTTGTGAAAATATATGTTCACAGGAAAATTGTTGTTGAAGTGTAAATTGAGAAGTACGTGTTTCAAGAATATACCAGTAAAACAAAGTAAAGATAGTTGTTTTTCATCTAAAGAAGGATACGGAGATAACGAACAATATTTAATCTGGAAGTCCATAAAACAATGCAAAACAAGAGCAGAGCAAACACGGACCTCCGAAACATCAGAAGTGGGATCAGGTGCCATGGAGGAGTAAGCATCCCCTGCCGACCAGTCACACTCGCGTGTGCTCCTAGTCATGATCAGGAAATAACGGAAAAATCCGTCGTCAATTCAGTGCATAAATAATGGACTAACAATTAGTTTGAAAAACGTCAGTCAGCATTTGACTCAATGATAAATTGTATTTGCTGACAAAGTCATACGTACGCAAACATACAAAATGATGACTTTAAACTGGACTGTCGATATTCTTGTTTCATCAACTTGCTTGTCAGTAATTTACCTCGTTTAAGAAATTGTTCATACGTAGAGCGTGCTCTTGCACATCGAATCAACTGAGATATATATATTCCGTATGCAGGTGACGAAGGTATATTGCTGCATAAGTAAGGGAAGTTGACGATAGAAAAGTTAAAGTCATCACGTTTATCATATAACTTGGTTGTTAGATTGCCATTAATGTCTTTTTAAGTAAAATATCCAAGTATGAAACAGATGTGTCAGACTCTGTGGTATCTTTTTTCTCAAGCTCACCAGGATATATCGTATCGACTACGATATATCGTAGGAATGGAAATCACCATTGTTAACTGACAATACCTCGTCGATATATTTGAAGGTCGAGTTGAAGGCCACAGCAAGTGTTTTCTTCTTTTCACGCATAAGATTTTGCACAAATTCTGCTTCATATGAATATTAAAATAGGTCTGCTATCAATAACGGAGCGCAATTTGTGACCCATGGGAATTCTAATAGATTGTTGGAATACCTGGTCTCCAAAAACCACGTAGATAGTGTCAATCAGAAACTCAAGCATCCCTTTGATGTCAACTTCAGAGTACTTGTGTGTGCAATCAGAATGTGTTTTAACAAAATAATTTTGCAAATGACCAGGTAAGTAAATTTACGAGTTCCATTTTTATTAAAAAAGCAGCTGTCAATGATATCAAAAAGCCTGGACTTTAATATATCGTGGGGAATGGTTGTATATAAAGTTGAAAAGTCGTAGGTTTTTAAGCTGTTGATTTTTGTAAAAGCTTGTGATTTCAAATTGTCCAAAAGTTCTTTGGAATTTTTAAGTATCCACATCTGATTCACACCACTTCTTGAATATATTGTTGCACAGTACTCCTGAAGTTTTTCCTTCACTACTGTCATTATCTTAGTGAGGAGTAACGAAAGAGGCTTGGCTGAACATTTACTGGAACCCGCAATGTGTCTTTGTTTGTAAGGATTTTATGTTAAGTTTTCAAATCCAATATATATAGGCTAGTTCAAATTCCTTTTGGCTCTGTGGAATATTAAAAATATTTAAAACTGACATTTGATTTTGAAGAATTTATTCCTTATAAAAGGAAGTATGAGTATAAGTAGGATTACCACTTGTAGAAATAAATCAGTTCTTCTAAAATACAATTTATATAATGAGCCTTACAAACGAAGACAATGTTGTTACCTGCTTTGTCGGCAGGGACCAGTACGTACTGATCATGTAATCTATCTAATTCTTTTTTCACTTCTGGATTATTCAACACAGAAGGATAGATGGTTTTCATACTGCCCCTCAATCTTTTAATGCGCGACTTTAACATGGATCTAATACATTTAATCCATTCTGACAAGGTGTCAGTGTCTTCTTTTTCATATCTGGCCTATCGTCTGGCGTAATTTTCAACAGATTCCATAATATTTATGAAATTCCGACCCCAGTTGAAGGATCAGGGTTCCCTATATTTAGGGCCTTTTAAAATAAGTGATCTAAGTCCTCATTATTAACTTTATTTACGTCACCTGTAATAACGTGTCCAGCAGGACTTTAGTTATAGGGCAAAGAAGAACATGAACACGATGGAGGATTATGTTTCAGATACTTGGTATCCCGGCCATGTAAAGTTTTTCTGTAATTGAAAAGTGTGGAAGCAATGGTCGATGTATATTTGTAGGAAATACATATTTGAAATAGGTAATATAAGACCCTTTGTGATTAAGAATATTACTTATATTAACTGAGTCAATTCTTTTATTCCTTTATCCTAAATACTGTAGAAGTACTTTTTTCCGCGTGGTATTAATTTACATGTAGACTAGACCCTGTGTGATTAAGAATATTACATTAACTGAGCCAATTCTTTTATACCTTTATCCTAAATAATTCTAGCCAATGTCCACTTGTGATACCTTGTTGATAAATGGGAAGAATGTGATGAATAACCTCATATCTTGTCATGTAAAACATTTTTTAACTTCTATTCATATCTGAATAAATTTCTTGAAATGTTTTTTCCATTATCCTAATACTGTAGAAGTACTTTTTTCAATTTACGCTTTTATCAATTTACGCTATATCCGCGATCACAAAATTTCCGCGGAAATTTGTCCAAGCGTACTTAATATAAATGTAGGGCATATATAGTGACAATCTAGAAAAGCCGCGTAATTTTCCACCAGCGGATTGAACAGAAATTGAGATTCCGCGGAATTATGGACCCGTGGTATAAAGTACGTCTACAGTATACATGAAGATTGTCTTAATTAATACAACAGTTGAGGTATAAACTTCCTCAGAAGCTGTGTGACTGAAGTGCATTTTTTCAATGCATGTGAGGAAAACCCAATTTTTGTATTATAGATATCCGCGAGAAGTAGTTATCAGGAGAGAAACACCAAACTTTAATTTCCTTATAAAAATCCATCGAAAACCCAATTTTAATAAACATTCTAAAAAGTCTAAAAAATTTTGTTATCTGATTTAAATTAAGACCTGTTTTAATTTCACTTAAGACCCACTTTAATACTAGTATTTTTTTCACATTTGTTCTCATAACCCAATAAACAAAATTCAGCCAATTAAACTTACACAAAACATGCGTTAATTGGAACCTCGGAATTTAATTTTTCAAAAAAGCCTACATCCATTCAAATTGATAAAATTAAAACACAATAAACGTTCAATGGAAATAACTAACAGTTTGGAAGCCTAAAAGTTCATTTTAATAATACAATTTAGGAGAAGAGTTGCCAACGGACCTTTAAAAAGTCAGATGTGGAATTAGGTGCCATGGAGGAGTGAGCATCCTCTGCCGACCAGTAACATCAGCCGTTTGCTCGATGTCAAAATCGGAAAATGCAGTGTGTAAATAATGGCCTAACAATGAGTGAAAACGTCAGTAAGCCTGCATTTGGCTTCAAAATAGATTATATTTACTGATAAGGTCATTGTATTAAGCATACCTGGTAATTCTTACAATATATTATATATTTAAAAAAATAATTAAACTAGACAAGAGACATCAACATGAACCGTTGAAGAAGGGCTTTAAAATTTGACCTACATGTATACTTTACACTCAAGACCCTCAGCCAGCACCCACTGCGACACGGGGCCTCGCTTTTTAAGGTCTCGTTCAGAGGGGCCACAACTTTCACTTCATCGTGGCGAGCGCATGGTGAATAAGCAGTTGCTACCCCTGTTTTATCGGTCAGTTGCAGCCGAAATTCGAAGTCTAGACCTCTATCGACTGAGCTTGAGGAAAGTAGAGAAGGGATAAATTGGTGTCCTCGAGTTACCTTTCTTGGTCTGTAGAAAGCTTCACATCTTGTGTTGAAAATACGACTCTCACGGTGGAATCTAAATTTTATTAATATTAAACACAATATTTTATAAAATGTATGTTTAATATATAGATACTGTATATGTACTTCAATTAGCGGGCTTCATATTTTAGCGCTTTGGCACAGACGAGGATGCGCTAATTCATGAATACCGCTAAGAATTCATTTATAAATAGAATAAACGCCACGAACATGTGTAGTGCTAATTCATGATTACGCCAACAACTCCGTCGATTATTACTAAATTTTGAATACGCCATACTATGTACACGTACTTGAAAAAGACGTTAATTGTATGGTAATCTAACAAACAAGCTCTATGATAAACGTGATGACACTAACTTTTTCTATCGTCAACTTTCCTTACTTATGCAGCAATATACCTTCATCACCTGTATACGCAGTATATATATCTCAGATGATTTGATACGCAAGACCACGCTCTACGCATGAACAATTTCTAAAACGAGGTAAATTATTGAAAAACAAGTTGATGAAACTAGAATATCAACAGTCTCGTTTAAAGTCATCATTTCGTAAGTTCTTTGGTTGATACATTGACCTTGTCAGCAAATACAATTTATCATTGAATCAAATGCTAGTTGACGTTTTCATACTTATTGTTAGTCCATTATTTATACAGTCAAACCTGTATTAAGAGACCTTCCAACGGAGAAAGGAAAAAAGGTCACATATGACATATACAGGTTGCTTATTTTTCGCAGTGTTCAAAATATACAATACTGAAAATATCACATATATGTTGAATGTATTTTATTGCACCTTATGTTTATTTCCACTTTTTAACATATAGGTACTGCTCAACTCTAAAATGCTTTTACAATTGTCCTGTTAGGAAATAAAAATTTCTTGATTCACACATGAGTCATTTGAATATTGGGAAATATTGTGAACATCTAAAAATATATGTATTAATATTTTTTCATACAGTATAAAAATGCTGCAAAGTTTTTTTTCCCTAATAATTGTTTTTTTTTTTTTTTTTACATGATAGCCGATAAATAACTTCGTATGTTTTGCATATTACTATGAATAAAAATTGTATTATGATTTTTGTTATGCACTTGGTATCAAATTAAATTATATTTATTACTGAAATATTTGTTAAACCTAATTAATTTTTTTTTCATTACTGAACTACCGTGTCTAATTGCCTGTGATTTAAATCACTTCAATTATCACATGGTGTGGGTGCTAGCTAGCGTGTGTTTACATACCCATTGGTGTCACAATGGACTTAAATAAACATCTATAATTTAGTTACGTCTTAATTAAAGTTAAACAGGCAGGTTTTAAGCTGAATATCCATTTGGCCCTTATAGCATGAAATGATATCGGGATCGACATCGAACGTTTATTTTCAAAATGGCGCTCGATCACTGGACAGAAAAAACGTGATGTTTATATTTTAGATTTTAATGTTTATTCAATAAATATCAAAGCGTAAGTAAAAGTATTATATGATTATTAAATAAATAAAACCGTGTCTGTAGTTGTTTTGAACCAAAATCGAAGCATGTTCGACCGCAATCGAAAGTAGGAATCGGAAATTATGTAGTCGTTAAATTCAGGTATAATTGCTTGAAATTACTAAAAATGGTCAGGAAAATCACGGTCGTTGGTCGCGTTAGACAGGTGGTCGTTTAATACAGGTAGAATATATAGGGAAAAGCATTGGGGGGAATTTTTACGGTCACATGTGACAGTGAGTCGCTTAATACAGTGGGTCGCTATAGCAGTTTTGACTGTACATTGAATTGACGACGGATTTTTTCCGTTATTTCCTGATCATGACAAAGAGCACACAGCGCGTGTGACCGGTCGGCAGGGGATACTCACTTCTCCATGGCACCTGATCTAACCTCTGATGTTTTAGAGGTCTGTGTTTGCTCTGCTCCTATTTTGAATTGTTTTATGGACTTTTGATTTTTTTTATACTGTTCGTTATCTACATATGTACAACCGTTATCTATCGTTATCTACATATGTTTTATTCATAGTACTGAATGATTTAAAAATCTCTTCATTATACTGAACGACTTTAGAACCACTAAATTGTACTGAACGATTGAAAAACCACCCTATTGTACTGAAGGGCTGAAAAACCACGCTATTGTACTGAGCGGTTTAAAAGCTACTTCATTGTACTGGACGATTAAAAAAGACTGCTTCATTATACTGAACGATTTAAAACTTCTTCATTACACTTGACGATTTAGAAACTACTTCACTGTACTGAACGATTAAAATCACTTCATTGACTGAACGATGTAAAACTACTTCCATGTACTAAACGTTATAAAAAACACTTCTTGTACTGAACGATTAAAAAAAATGCATTGTACTCGACGAAGGGAAAAAAATGATTTGGGGAGGAAATTGAATCTATTGAATAATTCATCTTATGATCACTGCTGTGGTTGATTCCATATTAGTTTTTACTGCACTATACTCAAGAGATTTCAAAATAAAATAACATGATTTAAGTACTGAGCAAGTCTTCAAAAAAAGATCAGTTCGATAACATGAATAATTTTAATTTTGAAGATCTCTACCGTATCATAAAATGTAATTATACAAAAATATTCCAGAGTAGGATGTTTATCGAATGGAAAGCAATAAACATTTATTATTAATTAGAATTAAATTTCTCTTTCATTTGTTTTGAACTTTAATAATTAATAAAAAATGATCACATAATTTCGAATTACAAAACTAGGATATCTCTTGATAAATTGTTGCAAAAATATAGAGAAGTTTATTTCTACGTTTTAAGTTCAAAATGATTACAAGGGATTTCTCTGATATAGTATGTTGAAGTTGGGGAACAAGCCTGTTTCTTATTATTATTATTTTTCTTCTTGGGAAAAAAAAGATCTTGTAAAGTACACATCCGATTAAGGGGAAACCTTTTTAGGATAAGTAGGCATGTTATGTAGATTTGCGGAACGAAGGTCATATTGCGCGCACGTGCAACACGTTAAATGACCAATATAATGGATATAGCCGTAACTTTTCTATTTTTTGATGAAATCTTTTGAAATTTATAATGTAAGGATATAAAAAAAATATTCAAAAAAGAAAGATCTACGCGCATGTTTATCTGATTGGGAAAGCAGTCTCTATATCTTTCTTGTTTTTAAATCCTATGAAATTTTGAACATTATTAATTACAACATGATATATAGCAATTCTCTCTGCATGCACGTGTGTTGATTGGCTTAAACTTTAAATAATTCAACCAAACAGGATGGAAAAAAATAGATATAATGAACTTCTACAAGACGGTATGGTCACCATGCAATGCAGATACGTGAACGTGCGCTGTAATCTGATTGGCTGAAACTTTAAACAGCAATTTATCCCTTGGTTTTCAACCAAACGGGGTGGGATTTAGAACATAGATAGATGTAAAGGACTTCTACAAGAAGATATGGTCACCATGCTCATGTATTGTGAAATGAGATAAATCAAAAATAATATAGTATTTTTTAATACTTTTGGATTAAATACTTTAATATTTAGTATATAAAAAATATATTTAATGATATGGTCATTACACACATGCATTCACAAGGGATTTGAACTTGGCGTTGTTAAAGTCTCAAATGCATAAATTTTGTCCGATATATGAATATAGCCAAAAGGTAGTTGGGGATTTTAGCACTAGTTTTAATTTCACCTGCTGCTTTCTCATCTACAAAAACCCAGAATTTCCGACTGACCGGATATGTCATCACTTCACTCAGTCCTATTGGATTCCGCGGTTGTTCCAAGGAATGTAATTCTTACACAGATTGTAAATCATTTAATTTCAACCGACTCCATTTATTCTGTGAATTATCTTATAAATTACGTGCTGATGCTGAAGCGAATGAATTTTGTGGACGATCAAGAATTCGTTTATGTGGAAAAATTGGACCAACAGGTATTTTTACAGCATTACATTTTAACAGGATCAAAGTATTGAAAGAACTGAAAGGTTCCAAATTTTACATATATTATTGATTTTTCAAAATCCCTTATATCAGTAATTTAAATTAACAGTCCAGATCCCAATATCAAAGTATTGAAAGAAGTGAAAGCTGGGCTTTTATTGATAGAGTATATTGTTTGATCAAAATTTAGTATATATTCTATTTATTTTTATTTTGGCCATTGATTTTTAACAGGTAGAGTTTGTATGATTATGATTTAAAACAATATCCCATATATCAGTAATTTAAATTAACAGTCCAGATCCCAAGATATGTTATGAATTTAAAATTTGATAAATAATATTTCCAAGACATTCTCGCAAATTTTCTCTTCAATAAGTTTTTTTTTCTCATAATTTAAAAATTCAGTCCTGGAATAGGTAAAATAATGCACATGTGCATTTTATAGACATTCTTTTAGTTTCAAACAAACAGTACTTTTATCGCCAACTACTTGTAGAAACACTGATGCATGTACATTGTCAGCGATTTCACGCATGTTAACTCTTAAAATCCAATTCAATATACTATTGATTTGCTAAAAAAGTCAAAACAGAATATAACCACTAATTTCGAAAATCCCGCACTATTGAAAATAGTTTGCTTACAATATACATTCAGGAGTGTATGTGAACAAATTATTATACAACGATTATCCCAATAAGGCAAATATCTAATTTCTCTTTCAGCTTAATTCTCAAGCAAAAATACTGATAATTAACTTTTCCAAAGATTCTTTTTAATAATACTAAGTCCATTTAATATTTACATTGTTACAATATATCTATAGCAAAATACGTTGAAAGAGGTTCATTTACAGAAAAAAATACATTGTTAGGATAAATTAAGCGTAAATTCCTTTATAATATTTTTTTTTTATTGTGAATTATATTGTAATTTATTTACAGCGATAACCTTGTAACATATTCATTTTCAGGAAAATGACGTTATCGTTTGTTTCGGGTCCATTTTTAGTAAACCTTCTCTTCAAATCTCTGATACAATATATGAAATACTGTGGTTTCATCGATTTCCGTTGGCATCAATTTTCGTGGATTTTGTAAAACACGTTTTCGAGGATACGTAATTTAGTGGACAAAAGAATTGCCTATACAAATGAATGTCATACTTCGTAATTCAATGAACATTTGAATTCGTGGATCTGCTCAAGAACGAAATCCACGAAAATTGGTGCTCAACGAATATTAATGAAACCACAGTATTTAAAAGCTCCTAATGCATGTTATGATCACAATCTTATGAAATTGCAATGTTTATACAATCTTATCGAACTCAGGTTTTTAAAAAAATGTATAAAAAGGTTTGTTTAGAGCCAAAATGCAGGAGCTATTTCATAAATGATGAGTTCTTTTCTGTACGAAACAGTATATTTGTATACCGCGAGCTTAGGTATTTGACATGAATACTGTGGTTTAATCATTAATCGTGGAACACCAATTTTCGTGGATTTCGTTGTTAAGTCGATCCACGAAATTAAATGTTCATCAAAGGTTGGTGCATCCATTTTGATTTATGATAAAACTTTATAAAGCCCATTCCGACTTTTGTTAATATTAAATCCCCCTTTTTCCCCAAAAGATTGACTTTATAGACATATTTAATAATTTAAAAATATTTTAAAAATCTACGAAAATTGATGCCCACGAATAGTAATGAAACTTCAATGTGCTATTTATTGAAATTTTATAATCTTGCATAATACCAGGAAAACACGTCGGCGTGTGAGGGAAAAGGAAGGAGGTGTTTTTCGTCTTCCAGCAATCAACACTCTTACGACATTTCAATTGTTACCAGTAAGACAACATAGCTTGTTTTTGTACTGATTTCTTTTATTTGTTTGATCGTTTGTCTATGTTGTTTTTGTTTCCCGTGCGTTTTTATATAAATAAATGGAAACACAACTTAAACAGAAGGAATATTTTACTTACGAACAGAATTACTGAAATAAAAAAAAAATCAATTCACGTTTGTACGGCAATGGCATCCATTGTAGTTCACTTTAATTGTAGACTGTGGGGATATTATAGCAAATTATACATCTGCTAATGTGAATTCTACAACTTTTGGTTCGACAATAGCTTTGCACGACCTAGATAGTGATCCAAGTACCTTTGTCAGCTATTCCTTTCTGACGTGTGCCCCAGATGGGATTTGGAAACTGGAAAATAAAACATGTCATGGTTATATATTTTATTGATTTCATATCAACAATGAAGCTGTTCAAATTATGCATTGAATAAAAATTGATATTTTGAAGGCAATATATTTTTTAAAGGCTTTTTGATATCATTGACAGCTGCTTTTTCAATAAAAATGGAACTCGTAAAATTACCTACCTTGCCTTTGGTCATTTACAAAATTACTTTGTTGAAAACATTCTGATTATATACAAATGTACTCTGAGGTTCATATTAAAAATGCTTGAGTTTCTGATTGACAATATCTATGTTGCTTTTGGTGACCAGGTCTTCCAATAATCTATTGGAATGACCAATATAACCAATCACTCCCTGTTATTTGCAGCTTTTAATTTTTAATTATTTTTGTATGTTTACGAGGCAGAATTCGTTTAAAATCTCATTGTGGAAAAGAAAAAAATATAAAAAGAATATATCGATGACGTATTATTAATCAATTGTTATATCTGTCAGAAAAATCAGTTGACAATACAGTGTGTAAAAATTACTTAAGAATAAGTATGAAAAAAGTCAGTCAGAATTTGACTGACAAGGTCAGTATATCGAAATGTTTCCAACCTTAGATAACGTTTAAGATTTTTTGTTCCATTTATAGTGTGTAACACCTCCTGTTTGTCGAGTTGTGGAACGATCATGTCACCCAATTACCCTAATAATTACAATGACTATGATGATGTTACATGGAACATTTCGACAAGTCACAACAAAATGGTGTACCTCAGGTGAATTAACAATTTTAATTTCACAAACTTTAATTACATCAAAATGAATGATAATCGTCAAGAGAGGATATTTTAAAAAATTCTCTGGATACGTTTGCAATACTTCAGAAGAGGCCTACAATTTTGAACTTGATGAAAGTATTTGAAAATCAATTTTGATATAAAATATTTTGACGATATTAAGAAAAACAGTGACTAAGCTGTCTTTCGATGTCACCTATACTTAGCTTACGATTATCCCCTTCCTTTTCTATATTTTTACAAGAAAAAAATTAAAGCCGATTTGATGTAACTGTTAGTATAAATTTTGATTAAATTTTGTATGATTTCTTTTAAAAATTTTCTTTTCTTTTAAAATTTAAATGCATTGAGAAGTTCGCTGAATTTCGATCTCATAAAACAATTTCACAGGTTTTTTCTACCATTTATTAGGTCCTTCTCTCAATTTGTTCAAAATGTAGAAATCAATAAATATATTTTTCAGTTCAAAACTTTATAAGAGATTCTGGTAGATTTAATTAATTATAACAGTCTAGCACTTAAACCCTAGACGCTTGTAGTTATATATTTATCATGTTTAAAGAATATATGTATAACAATATTCTTCTCCAATTTGTTCAAAATGTAGAAATCAATAAATATATTTTTCTTCAAAACTAAGAGATGTATAAACATTGACAGTTGTAGCATTTTATGGTTAGAACTCGTACGTTGTTAGAACTTGTGTTCAAACCATTTGTACAGTATTTATACAATAAAAATATGTTCAAACCAATTTGTTAAATGGTATTCAATTTCTAATAATAAACATAATGATGATGTGATTGTGTTGTGCCTTTTTTAAGAATTCATATTTCTACACATCTAAAATAGCTTCTATTTCCCTTTGTTTTAGATTAAAAAAAAATATTTTCGAAAAAATTAATAAGAGGATTGTGATTATGAGGATTGTTAAGAAATTGGTGAAAATTAGAAAGAAAGTAAAAAAATGTTCTTATTGCTGAAAGTGAAGACAAAAATAATGAATTAAAACCATTTTAATTTTATTTTCCGTTTTGACAGATTTGTGGACATGGTATTAGAAGGGTCCTATGACTTCGTGGAGATATTTGACGGACCTTCCAACTCCTCCAATAGAATTCTCTACACGGACAAAAAACCGAGCTACATTGTAAGGAGCAGCCAAAACTTCATGACTGTTTGGTTTCACACAGATTACTCTGTTGTAAACAGGGGGTTAAAAGCGATATATTGGAGCTTTTAAAATCAATCCCAAGAGATACTTCAAAAGGACAAATCTGAGTAAGAGAAGCTTTCTTATAACGCTCGAAGAATTTATATTTTGAATTTTATTTTTCTTTCAAAAATTAAAATTTATTATTCATGGTATAGGAATATCAAAGAGTCTGGTATTGGAAAAACCGTGACAGTTAACTTTGAAATGCGTGAATTAATTATGATATCTGTTATTTTTATACCTTTTATATGCTGTTTTTCGATTTGATATTATTGCAATTTCAGATTATGTTGACATTTTGAAATTATTTCCACCATTAAATGTCACCATTATTTATGACTATATCGTCCCGATACCACTCTGTATTATTTATGACGATAGTGTTACATATGTCACCACTACAAATGTTTATTGTTATTATATTCAAGACACGTGGTGTAGGTCGACCCATTAAAAGGTTATAGGGTAGAACCGGTTTTATATAAAAAAATTGAAGTAAATAGGAAATTTTTAAAGTATATTTCTTTTTCAAACATTTCCTATGGAACATGTGTTTCCAGACCTTGCTTAACGTTTTCAGGAGGGGGGGGGGTTACAATTCACAATCTACAAAATCGTGGTATTGGAAACTGACACTTTTACTGATTTTAGGAATTAGGAATTTCACTTCTAGTTTCCATATCGGTTTTATTGTGGTTTTCAATTTATACACACAAGAAATATCCAATATGATGAATGAAACAATTTTCTCACATTCAAATGCTTGTTTTTTTTTCTTTCATTCAATCTAAATTAAAATGTTACTGTGTTACGTAGAGAAAAACAGATGATGTTTTGTACATATGTTAATAACACAAATAATAAAAATTCACATCAATATAATTTTTTTAATCTCTCTTCTTAACCCCCCGTTCACACATAGACGCCGCTTCTACTACGATCAAAGTGTGGTCAAAAGCGTGGCCGATCGTGACAAATCGCAGGAGGAACGTCGTGGGGTCGTCAGAAGCGTAGTATGATCGCAGAAGAGTCTTCATGATCGGAGAGATCTACGCGCTCACCACGCTTATTTTGAACATGTTCAAAAGAAGCGTAGCGGGATCGTGGCCAACAAGAATCGGGGTGAAGTCGTAAAAAGGGCGTAGTAGAAGCGCCGTAATCGTACAAACAGCGCGGAAGCATCGTAGAGAGATCTTCATGATCGTAGTAAAAGCGCCGTGAGAGCGTAGGAACTTACCAAGAACGCTCATACAACGCTCCCTCTACGTTCGTACTACGTTCTCACTACGATCTCTCTACGTGCCTGAAGATCCTACGAAGACCTACAATGACCTTACGACGATCATCAAAAGAGTTTGTTCTTATACCGCTGATATTTGACCAATCATCATCTGTTAACTACATGTAAAGGGTGACACTATAGTTGATGATCAATTTACAATTGAGCATTTTCACATCTTGTTACAGTTATTATAACTGAAAATGCCCTAAACCATGTGGTAAAGGCCAAAATATGTATCATCGCTAAAATTGTACTACAAAAATCTGCAGTTCCAAGATATATTTACATCATCACCAAAATCGTACTAGAAGCGTAATGCAATTGTAATATGATCGGCACCACCGTAGCGACATCGCGGTACAGTCATCTAGGTCTGTGTAGCGTCGTCAATGTCGTAGTGGCAGGTAGCGTAAACGCACTAAACACGGCTGCTTGTCGGCAACGGTCTGCGTAACATCGTAGTAGAAGCTTGTTAGCAGCACGTTTGACGTAGGGACATCGTAGTGCGGTCGTAACGAAGACCATAATTTGCCAAATTGCTATATTTTGACGCCGATCGGCTGCGTTCTGCCCTGATCCAAAAACTTTTCAGATCGTGGCTTGATCGGGATGATCGCCGTAGAGTGTGAACTAGTTGCGGAGGAGATATAGCATCGCGAATGTGTGTATGTGTGTGTGTGTGTTCGTTACCTTGTGGGCAAGATTGACAGAGAACCTTTGCATTAACCATTCTCAGCGTTTACATACTTGTTTGGCAGTATTAAAGGACGAAGCCCATTAATTTTCAAGTTCATTGATGAAATATTTCTTCGGATATCGCGTTTTTACTGCCTCGAAACCCTGACATTTTATGTACGAGTTGACAATAATCATTTCCGCCAAGGATCCAGTTTAAAAGCCATGTCGAGTCTGTGGGAACCAGATTAAAAGAATTTCATGAACGTCGCGGTTTCATTACCAAATTCCAACAGGTGTCTGGGTGCACGTTATTCCTGAAAGCTGTAAATAAAATCAACACATGGGCGTCAGAAGCAAATTGAAAGTGGGGGGGGGGGGGCATATTGAAAGTGGAGGACTAAACCAACAAAAAAAGGTAACCCCCAATTTTCAATGCATAGAAATTGTCTATATTTGCAAAAAAGTGGGAGGGTAAGCCCCCCCCCCCCGCGTCCGACGCCTATGCCACAAGTTCAATTAAACTCTTTATGTACATTGTTATATTTCATTATGAAAAAATGCAAATTGCCTGGAACTGTGAGATATACTAATTAGGTAGGTAAATAATAAAGATAACTGAAACTTGTATATGTAGAATACAATATATGTTTCTGCTAGGTATTAGGGAAACTGCCCAATTACGTCTGCATATTATGCCCCCCCCCCCCCTCCTTCCCCACTTAAATGCTATGCAATTTGATTTTTGTTAAAAATAGACACCCCCACTCCCTATAATTTTGTCAAAAAAATAGTGCTGAAAAATAATTTAATACCTTATATTAAACTTTGCTACCCAAAATTAGGTATCCATGTTATGCCCTCCCCCCCCCCCCCCCCCCCATCAAGACGCTATGCACTTTGCATTTTGTAAAAAAAAATTGGATCAACAACACTCCACTAATTATATTGTCAAAAGTAAGGGAGTTGATCCTAATGTTGCGGGTTGAATCCCACTGTGGAACGTGGAGACTGGTCCTTCGAATGAGACCGTGTAAACCAAGGGCCCATGTCCCAATAGATGCTGGTACAAAAAGATCCCTCAGTGCTCAATGGCCGTCAGTGCTTTTTATAGGAAAAAATGTGCACCTCTCCACCGGCAAGCCTTAATATGAGCAAAATATTCCTGAGAGGGACATTAAACAGGATACGTTGTACTATCAATCTTTAACATGTTTAACTTCCCTCTAGAAAATTTATATCTCATGAGATATTGCCATTTTCAGTGATGTTCCTGCCGCGAGGGGATGCTCCGCTTAGCGATGCCCTTGTTCACATTTATTGCAGTTAAGTTTATCTGTGTAGGGACCTACATGTATATACTAACGGGATAGGCAACTCCTTCATCGTCATGTTTATTTACTCAACACATCACGCACATCACTACAAGTTTATTCCCAGTAAACAGGATGTTTTCTGATTAATATCATTTATTTGTTCTATGTATTGGAATTGACTTATAATAAATTTTAAAGCATAAATTATAATATAATTTAATATTAAGAAAACGAACCCCGAATCGGCGATTTCTAGAAAATACGGCCGATCATGTGCACGTGCTGATTTTGAACAGAATTACTTCTAAGATAATGAGTAATCAGTATAATCCATGCTTTACCAAATCCTGAATGATTTTTGATAGATTATTAAGAGCCATTCTCTGTAATGATTTGAAATTTTATATAGGAGCTGTGGCACGCATAGTCTCAGAATTTCGCCAAACTCTCTATGATAAAAGTCATTGATACCCTAAACTGAAATCAGGCAAAAATTGGTTGCTATGTTTTATAGTAACCATGGCAACATGTCTTAAAGTTCGAAAAATGGCATTTTTTAACATGTTTAGAGCCCCATGGTTAACATTTGCGGCAAAGCAAACAATTGGCAATGACTATTTCCAAAAGTTGAAGGTGAGATGTCTCAAATGCATGATAAACATGTTTGGTAAATCAACTATTACATACGTTACTATGGTAACAAAGTATTCAAAAGTAAAAAAAATATTCATTGAATTTTATAAAGTCATACACGTAAAAATAAAAAGCAATTATAGGATGAAATGTGACCAAATAATAGAAAAAAGAGCCTTGAAACATATACCAAGAACAAAATATGATATTTCATTTTGGTTGGCAATGGTTGCCAAGGTTTTTATACCACAGAGAGCTTTCAAAGTAACACTATGTATGTTTTAATCTGATTCTATCTTTTAAAAAAGCACATTTCCTCATAACTAATGATCAATTTGATAAGATGTTGGTGTGCTCCAAGTTTTCCCATTTGAAAAAATTCAGATCAGATTCTTTAAATAGGGCGTTGCTATGGAAATAAGCAGAAAATATATGCTTAAAAACCTGAAAATATTTTCTTTCCTTGGATACGTACCCTTAAATGTAGATTCCCAAAACTTTTATGATTGATATTTATTAACAGCTAACTTGACTTTTAATTTTGACTATCATCCAATCTCTAAGTGGATGCAAGAAGTTGGCACACAGGGTTTAATATTGAAATAAAGTTAAAAAAATCGAACATTTTCCCTTCTTGGTAACCATAGCAACAGTGTTGTTTTATTCATCAAATTTTATCAATATATGATATTCAACTTCATTTCTAACAGATAAGTACTATTCAAGCTGACTCATTTAATTTGTTTCTTGATTAAATGGCAATTTCATTCTTAATGCAGCGAAAAATAATTCACTTTTAAGCACTGGTACTTTGTTTCCATGGTAACACTACAAAGTAGCAATGATATCGAATTTTTCTTATGGTTTTGGTGTTGCAAGGTCCTAAGGATGCCTATTTGCCAGTTTTAAATTTTCATGTTTTTCCTCAAGACAGTAGCATTAACCCAGTCTTAGTTTCTGGTTTTGTATGGTTACACTGTGTTACCATGGCAACCATAAAAGTTATTTATAGAAAAATATTGCTGATACTTATATACTTAAGCTCAAACATTTTCATTGTTTTTCTTAAGTTGTTGATTGAGTTTGAGCATGTAACACCTACCATTAGTGAATACGGAGTGTTTTTCAGCATATTTGAGCATTTTGAATGTATTCCAAATGTACCCTTGGTTACCACTTACTTAGATATATATTCTAAACAGTTTCTTTACAGTATAAGTGACATCAAGGTGTCATGTTTTTGTGAGAATGGTTTGTTTGCTTTTTCTAGTTTTTATTAAGCCACAGTCAAGATTCAAAGTGGCTGAAAATCTCGATTTTTCAAACTATTCCGGCTGTTGCCATAGCAACCGAGACACATAGCAACGAAATTTTGTTTGATATTTGTTTAAGGTGTCAAGTACTAAGCATGGGTGAAGTTTCATCAAAATCGGTGACCATGCGTGGCAACAAAGTTTAAGTGGTTACAGAGAATGGCTATTAATGTTTTTGATCTGAAATATGTGATATCATTAGAGATATGATTAAAAGATTATTAATGTTTTTGACCTGAAATATGTGATATCATTAAAGATATGATTAAAAGTTAACTTACAAAATCCCGCGATTTACGAGATATCGCGAGATTTGCCTACCCCGTTAGTATATAGGTCCCTGATCTGTGTTTGTTTGTAAACTGCACTGATCTGTACAACTACATGTACTAGTATTTTAAGTTTCTTTGGTATCTTACCTTCCTGCATTAGACAAAATATTACGCTATTATTGTTGCTACCGAGTGCTGTCTATCATACATCTGTTTTTTTTTAACAGAGTGACTAAGTCATGTCCTTTATATAGGTGTCTGCAGATATAGCGAGAATCTGAACAAAATCTGAACACTTTCCTTTTACAAATCGTGTTCAGCTTTAAATAGGGGATTTTACTAAAGTGTAGTCTACCTTAATAGTAAAAGGTGATGACGAACACCCAGGTGAATAGACTGGTGAAAGGATTGATTTGTAGGACGCGACTGATGTGGGAAGCGTGCCAGCACGGACCGGTGGTTACAAGGTCTGGGTGTAAGGACATGGGGAATATATATATATATATATATTCATATATGCAATTTCACTTCAATACATTCTTAAATCATAGAAAGAAGGATATGGAGATAGCTAACAGTATTAAGTCTCAAAGTCCCTAAAACAATACAAAACAAGGGCAGAGCAAACACGGACCCCCGAAACATGAGAGGTGGGTTCAGGTGCCATGGAGGAGTGAGCAACCCCTGCCGACCGGTCACACCCGCCGTGTGCTCCTTCTCATGATCAGGAAATAAAGAAAAAAATCCGTCGTCAATTCAGTGTATAAATAATGGACTAACAATTGTTATGAAAAACGTCAGTTTTTGCAGTTTTTTGCAACCAATTATAATTGCTTTTACTGCTTAGAAAATTATAAATTGGTTGCTAATACATAACATATTTTATGAAAAAGCTAACAGTGGATTATTGAAATTAAAAAAAACAACTATTTTTTGGTTTAGGGAGTAACGAAAGGTGCTAAATAGGGATTCAAAGGGGTAAAAATTATGCTTAATTATTGGATAGTTTTCCTGTTTACAGATTTTTTTTTAATAAAATCTCCTATATTGCAATCATTTATTACATATATATTTTGAAATAAACATTATGTCATTAAATTGAAATACATTTTTTTAATTGATAAAGAGTAATACCGGTGAAAAATAAGTACATTATAAATTCCACAGTTTACCAAAAATATTATTACAAAAAATTAATGCTGAAATAGAATATTGATCTTTTTGTTGAATTGTGATAAAATGATTTTGATATTGCTAACAATAAAATATGGATCGCAATGTCTTTTTAACAAAAAAATCAAAACAATATCAAAAATAAAATTCAGAGCTGCCTACCCGTTCGCCTTTGGCGTATTTATTCCGCGTTTTATCAATAATGCTGTCATGTCATCAAAATTAATTATTATATTTAAAAATTTAAATTGAATTTCATGGCATGACAGCAGTATTCATTTGATACAAGGCGGAAGAAATATACCAAAGCGGAAGGGAATCCAGTACTATATTCTATTTTTGGTACTGCTTTGATTTCGAGGTGCATCGCAATAAAAAAGACACAATTACGTAGACTTTTATTATAAGATTAACAATATGATATCAATGTACATAATATGAAGGAATACAAACTAACATGTTTCTTTGAAATTACTAGTATGATAATAAATGATGATAAAAATTAAACTTCTCTAAGGGGATAGGCAGATCTGAAAACATACATGTATAATTTATACGTTCATGGAATTCCTTAAAGAAAAAAATAGTTTTAATGATTTGAGTACATACACTGGTGTTTTGTGACCTCAAAATAAAGAGAGAAGGGTACATATGGACAACACATATCACAATTAGTTTCTTTTGATTGTGGGAGGTTTGTCAATACATTCTTAATGCTAAATTCTTTTCACATTATTTTTCCATCTGCACATCCATCTGCACATTTGTATGTTTGATAAAATTGGTACGGGTTCTGAATTTTAAAGTTATTCTCGTGCATTTCTACACAACTCATTTTGTATAAAGTCTATTCTACGTTTTGTAGATTCCTGCAATTTATGAACCGGTTTCTGTCTAAGCGACTCTTGATAAGACTGTAAAGCCCCGTGTAAGTCTCCCACAAGTTGCTGACATATTCCTAATATCTGCCAGGATATACCTCGAAACTGTAAAGGCACGTATGATCCATCATCATAGAGCAGCAGTGTGTGTAGATCTGTAAGGGACTGTTCATACTGAGATGTATTACCTAGTCTATAGTTGGATAATACAGACAACATTTCTACTAATACAGATGGTGGAATGATTAGTATAAATGAATTTTGCTCTGCAGCGGAATGTTCTAATGTTAATTCTTCAAGAAAGTATGAATTACCATGGAGTCTTATTGGCACTGCCCAAGCAATTTTAATTCTCCTAGACAAAGACAGGCCACTTACATATTCTCTATATTTGTATCTATCTCCAAAATATCCAGTACCGCCATGAATAACACAGGGCTCTGATAGTCTCTGTTTAGTTCGATTAGTAACATAAAGTGCCTCATTGTATCTTCCGGTCCTATAGTAATACATAGCTAAATACACTGAGTGGGATATTACTCCTATTTTTGATGACAATTTCAAGATATTGCAAAGCATTCTGTCTAAACAGTACAACTGTTTATGTTTGAAATTTGAGGTATTGTTGACAATCATGAAGGCTACACGAGCAAGGAAATCAGCTGTCCAGTATTGTATGGTTAATAATTGGTACGCAGACATTGATGAATGTAATATTGTCTCTAAAGACATTAAAAATAAAACATAATCGTTCAAACTGTAATGACAAAAATCTGACCGAAATACTTCAAATACAAAACAAATATCATTACATTCAATGTCGTAACAATGTTCTCTAGATGAGGGGATCACTAAAGAGAGGTCGTTAAGGGCTGGCTCAACGAGAGATCTGAGTGCCGGACTAAGGAGTACAAAGGATACGCCTAGACTGTAGTACTGAGTAAGTTGTTCTAGAAGAGATTCACGTGCAGCACCGACTATTTTGTTCTTAAACATATTGTTCTGAGGAATAAAGAAATTGGCGAATTTACCACGATACACACAGAAAATGAGATACTTAAAACACATCCAAAAGCATCCAAGGAGATTGTTAGGACACCAGTTCAAATGTGCAATTTGTATTAACCAAAACATTGTAGTCTTAATGAAATAAGAACACAGTAAAGGGTCCTCTACGTTGTTACTGATCACTTCTTTGAGAAATATTTTAAGGAGACCGTAACATAAAAACTGAGTACGATTCATGATGTATACTAGTTTCTGTTCGGCAAGAGAAAAGGACAATCTCCATTCTAGTTCATTTTCAGTAGTTTCACACTTACTCCCAATAGGTACACAGTGATAACCATTGTTTAAAATGTCTTGAAGCACACTTGCAGGAGGCCATTTGTGCCAACGGCATCTTTTTATCCAGTTTTCTGTAGTAATTGGCCAATATTTGCAGCTAAAACAAACTGTTTGATCAAATTGAGTATCTCCAAGGTAACCACTCGCACAGGGACCATGGACGGTTACATTTCGGTAACAGATTTTGCTAGATTTACGTTGAAAAAATTCTTCTCTCCATATCGAACTTGAAATATGAACACTACCTTTGAATTTAATTAGTGAAAATCTGATGACTTTGCACTTGGGCGGTGTTAAGATCTGTAGTCTGACAAAACCTGGCGAAGTATCTGTGTATTCCATGAGTATAATATTGTGATCACGTGATGAGTTATAATATCTCAACTGAGAAAAGTCGTTTATTAGTTTAGAACAACTAGGCCATGCCATGTAATCCCGGTCAGATGACTCGAATCTGAATCCTTCCCTATAACTTCCGCTTAGCATAGTTCTTGCTGCACAATGGCCATGTGCTCGATTACACATATAACAGATACCTAAAATATTTCTATGTACCAAGTCCCACACATCCCACACGTCCCTTCTGATGGTCACTTTACTTGGTGCCCCTATCTTACGACTCAGACATACATAGAGGATCTCTGATAGGCGGGCAGAGTGATCCATTCTGTAAGTTATATGAAGGAACTAATCAATCATACATTAGGTAAGAACTGAAATAGTAGATAAGTATTAAAGTTTTCTGAATATATACTCTTCAAACTTTAATGACCCACACTAAGTTAGCAGACCTTTCTTTAGATAAGACACAAATATTTACTTTCAGATCAGAAATCTATTTAATGTTAATTGTTACAGAATATTGATAAAAAAAAATTCTGCACGATTTGTGTTTTATTATAGAGTATATATATGTATTGGCTCCTCTGCGAAAGAGCAGCTCATTTTTTTTATGTTTTCAAAACAATTTTGAAAAGGATTTGTTTAAATGAATTCATTCGATATTTTAAACTTCTGAATATTTTAAATTTTAAAAATGCCGTGGCAAAAATATTGTGAGTGGTTTTCTTTTTCATACTCATACTCCAACACCAATGTTGTCCATTTAAGGACATTGGCAAGGTTCCTGGCTTTAGTATAGAAATTTTCAAGATTTTTTTAACATTGTTGTGTCCTTTTTCCAGATGTAATGAATATATTTGGCTGAAAATGCAAATATAGAAACAAGACAAAAATTATTTAATTTTGAGTTACTTCCCCTGACATCTAATGAAAAGGAGCTTTTATCGTGTAATTTAGGTTATTGGAATCAAATTGTCATAAAGAAAGAGAGCGTATAAGGCGTGTACAATCCCCCGCTCTGAGATAAAATGTTTCTAAATTTTCAAAATTCACAGAAATATTATATTTTTCTAAAATAATGTTCTCAGTAATGTCATCTTCAAAACATTCTATTATTTTATTTTACTAAACGACTTACCATTTGATAATCTTTATTTCAAAGTTGACAGTTAAGCATATTTAGTGGAAAATGGGTTTAATAGAGCTATAAAAAACGAATTTTGAACATGAATGGGTCAAGTCTCCATTCTTCGTGAACGCTTAAATGATGAAAATGTAAATGCAAAATCTATTTCATTTGTCCAAAAAATGCAATCTGAACCCATTCTATATGAAAATCGAACTTTTCTGAAAAAAATTTACGCTTTAACAAACCCGTTTATTTAAATCACACTGAAAGACATCGATGATGCATATACTTCTTAGCGTAGTGGTTAAAGCGGTTGGTCTTGGACCAAACCTGCTCTATGGAGAGAGTTCGAATCATACGTGAAGCTTTTTCTTTTTTTTTTTTTTTTTGTTTTCAAATGTCTTAAAAACATGAGTGAAAAATAAATTATTAATAAATTATTCAAACAATGAAATACAGAATGTGACGTTAAAAAATGATATAAACCATACAATTTTGAAAAAAATACTAATTTTAGAATTAAGAAAAGTCTTTTTTCAGAGTGGGGGATTGTCCTTGCCTTGTACGCCTCCATTCTTTATTTGTATGGATTTACAGTAGGTGGAAGCATTTTTTGTGTGTATTCGTATTTATTGAAATCATGGCTCTAGGGGAAAGGCTAGGATTTAAATTTTATTAACCATTTACCCGAGAATATCTTTGAAAAAATCTTTTAACATCTCAAGAACAAAATATAAAGACATTACTTTTAACATTAAAATAATAAACATTTAATATTGAGAGCATATTTTCGAGTTTGATTTTATTTATCTAAAAAAGGAGAAGTTAGATTGTACCAAGTACTGTTCTAAAGGATTGGGAGAAAACTAGTTCCTGGTGCAATAAAACCTGTCAATGAATACAAAATGAATATGTTGGCGCCTCGAGCTCGTCAATCCGGACTCCTCCGTCTCGAAAAAAAATCATCTGGATAAATGAATCGTCAGCGGTAAAGTGAATCACTTAATAACCAAAATACAAAAGAAAACTCTCGATTCATGTACATTATGCACTCACTGATCCGAGTGTATATAATGTGTGATACCATGGAAAAATCCGTTCCCACAATATATTCTCCGGATTGACGCGCGGCTCAACTGTTCATATGATAGAGTTTACCTACCTCATCTAAAGATCTGTCAAATATTATTGCGGTAAAAGCTCTCATCCTGTTTGAGTTGGGGAAAAAGACTTAGTTCTTTCATCTCTTGATGGATGTGCATCATCTAAAAATGTTATATTCAATGGGGTAACATGAATTCGGAATGCACTCCTTACAGCTTAAACTCCTAGAAGCACACAAAATTCTGCCTAATCTTTAAGAAGATGTTTGGTAACTGAAACATTTAGTGAGCTGAATATAAATACGTATGCATCAATAACTGTGATAATACAGATAGTGTAGATGTCCAATAAGAACGTTAGGAATTTGAAATGTTATTGAAAGACAACGACTCATCAGAGCTCAATCAATCATGTCATTTAACTGATCTATATTTTATTCTATTTTCTTTTATTAGACATAAAAATGTCCTGCACAATTACAATGCTTTTTTGAAGTAAAACTTTTGGAACTCTTTGTCAGGAAAAGAAATAATTTAAAACTTCATGGGATGAATAATTTAAAATGATGTTTAATAGATTCAATCAAAATATAATTTTCATCATTAACTCGTTGGATTGGCATTCGTGAACTTTCTTATTTTAATTGTATTCATGTTTTGGTCTTATTTTTAACTCGTTTAGCGTATGTAGGTCTAGTTTACTTATTACGATTTTTATATTTTAAAAAATGATAACATAGCTGAGTTCTATATACCTTTGAAGCAGATGGGTTATAGTAGCTAGATACTTATTGAGTATTTTCTTTTCGCTTTTATATCTTTTAATTATTAAAAAAAAGAAAATGTCATAACAGTCCTACCTTTAACAAATAACAAAACAAAACAGCTCATACCTTCCTTTTTTATCTCTCTCTCTCTCTCTTAAAAATCCTAGATAAAATAACCTCTTAAAAAGATCTTCCTTTTAATTTTCAGAATATGTAGCAATCATGTTTGAGGACTTTTTTTTAGATTAGACAAATGCTTATATCACGTTCTTCAACTCCTAAAAATGGGCTAAAACGTGAAACACTATACTTAAAATGTGAAAAATTATTATTTCAATGAATGCAATTTTTTTTTATTTTTTGCATTCTCTTTGTTCAAACATCTTCTGCATTCATTATCTGTTGACAGCAGTTTCCTCCGCCATTTTCTTCTCTTGACATCTTGGATTCTTCACCAGAGGACACACGTCAGAAGTTTTCAAGGATTTTTTTCTAATTTTGTTTTTTGTTCTTCCGTTATAATTTATCTTTTTCTTTCGGACCTTTTCTTAAAAAAGAAAAAAAAAACAACTATATCTTTCACTTTTATTCTTAACAGGATAAATTAAAAAAAAATCTTGTTAAGCCTTTTTTTTTTAATTTAAATATCATTTCTTTTCAACAAAGTTTCTGAATTAATAATTACATTATTCTCTCAATTTTCAATTCTATATCGTTATTTTTAACGATGATAGACAGAATGTAAAACATAAAAAACATTGTACATTATTTTATCTATAAGTCGCATTCTTTCTTCTGAATATTTTTATTGCTATCATTTTACTATTACCGTAAATATTCACCCTATTCTTTTCTTTGTTTTCATGGGTCAGGTATTATAAAGAACTTTATTCGGTAATAACCAATATTTGCCCCCCAAATCAAACTTTGATGGAGATATATTTAATTCAGTTCTTAAACAGGGGAGTATATGCTGACTTCAAAGAACTGAACATTTTCATAAGTAAAGACCCCATATATGTACGTAATGACGTCACAAACATGACTTAAATTTCAGTTTTTTTTATGAATTTTACAGAAAAATGTACATATTTCGTCGACATTTTGAGTAAAAGTCACCGAGCGCATGTGTGTTCAGGATCAATATTTTGATATAATGTGTAGAATGATAATATCAATGAAATATATCAATATTGTTCCTGAACAAACTTGCGCTCTATAAATTTTAAAGCTAAAATTGTTGACATTTTGTCCATTTTGTCCTCTTTCTGAAAAAGGATATAGAATCGGACTAGTTTGATACGTCATAAAAACAAAAATTGTGAATACACTGCTTTGACACTATAATATTTTCTGTTAATTTATATTTCTCATACAATTTATTGAATTTAGCACATTTCAGGAAGTTTTCAAAATTTGACTTTTGTGGGGGCAAATATATGCAATATACCGCATATAGTTCTTTTACTATTTAAATAATTTTTTTCTCTTCATTTCAACATTTTATTGTATTTTTTCTTTCGATTGATTGTATGAAACCAATTCCAAACAAAATACAGTAGATACATGTTGATGATATGCTCATAAAGGTGTTCTGTATAAACTTTCTTTTCTGCATTCACGCACAACAACAAATAGTTTTGAGCCACCATAAAATGTTTGGTGATACAGTAGAGGTTTACTGCTTCATTGAAACATCTGGGCCAATCAGGAAAACAATTGCTCCCAACTGAAACTAGAAATTTTATGAAAGATATGTACTCTAATCTGTTTTTTTTAATTCAGTAGCTGACAAATATGTCAGACTACATGTTCTTCAATCATATGTAACTTCCCCCAATCAATCATTGAAATACTGCAACTGTAACACGCTTCCGCACTATAAATATAAAATACCAAACCAGGAATTTAAGCAAGATACCAGAGGGAGGTGTTTCATATATAATCATATATATGAAATCATTTAAATTTCAATATAACAATTTTTCATTTCTTTTTAAATTTTCAATATAACAATTTTTAATTTCTTTTTAAATTTTCAATATAACAATTTTTAATTTCTTAAGACTTTTCCACTATCAATTCCTTTGTAAAAGTGAGACTGGGGTCAGGCCAGGGGTCTTTTTTTATCGTCAACTTCCCTTATTACTTCGCAAAAGCATGCTCTATGCATGAACAATCTCTAAAACCAGGTTAAATTTTGACAAGCAAGTTGGTGAAACAAGAATATCAGCAGTCTTGTTTAAAGTCATCATTTTGTTAGTTCTATGGTCGATACAATGACCTTGTTAGGAAATACAATTTATCATTGAGTCAAATGCTGACTGACGTTTTCCATACTACTTGTTAGTCCATTATTTATACACTGAATTTACAACAGATTTTTCCGTTATTTCCTGATCATGACAAGGAGCATACGGCGGGTGTGACCGGTCAGCAGGGGATGCTCACTCTTCCATGGCACCTGATCCCACCTCTGATGTTTCGGAGGTCCGTGTTTGCTCTGCTCCGGTTTTGTATCGTTTTATTGACTTTGAGATCGTATACTGTTCGTTATTTCAATATTCCTCTTGAGTGACAATCCCTTGCGGGCCGGTCTTGCCCGCCGTGTGCACCTTGTCTTGATCGAAAATAACCGGAAAAATCTGTAGACGATTCAAAATCAAGAACTTATATTGTGAAATAAGGTGGTTTTAGACTTTGAATTGGACTTATTTCCTAAAATTTGACAATACAAAACTCTCAGAAACACTTTTACAGTAGGGAGTGTTTTCCAGGGTTCCATGGTCTCTGCTTCCATTCGTTATAGCCACTATTATCACATTAAAAAACGTAAACACACAGAGCAGCTTACAGCTAATTCACTGATACTCTGAATAAAATCTGCAAATTACAATAAGACAAATTTATATGAATTCATATTCAAAAAAGGCAAAGACGTTAGAAAGGAAAGATCTTTTTTTTATCGTAAGCTTTTGATCAAACATTACATCACTGAATCCATTTTTTTCCTAAATTTGTTAAAAATATAAAATCTAAGATTCTAGATTGCATCAGTTTTCATATTCTACTTTAAAATATATCAAGCTGTTTTGATATAAACATCCTCCTCGTCTAATCCTCGTAATAAATCTATAGATATTTTCTCCATTTCATAATCACGCCATATACATTATTTTGTAGCTAGACTAAGACTTCCCATAGATTATCACACCGCACTCTGTGCTTTCATTCTCTGAACTACCAATGTAAGACATCTTTATGGAAATTGACTTTAAAAAATCACCGCAAACTTGTTCTCAAATGGCGAATGGAGGGATCTTTTTCTTGCCAGCACCTATTGCGACACGGGACCTCGGTTTACACGGTCTCATCCGAAGAACCGGTCTCCATGTCCCACAGTTGGAAGTAGATTTTTGATGGGAAATTATTGCAAATTTACAATCTACACTACTGAATCTTTGTTCTGTCAAAACGACGTATTTCTAGGCCAATTGATCAATCAGAATAAATTAAATTCTTTATCTGCTTTTATCTGTTGAAATAAAATGATAGCGCACTTAGATAGGACAAAATCAAAATGTCGTAAGCAGACATTATTACTAAAAAACTTGGAAACAAATTGTTGTACGTCTGCCTGCCCTTTTGTCTTACTCAGTGACCTATTATATCATGGAAGACTCCAAAATAATTTGTTTCCACATATGAAGTTGGTTTCTGCTGTTGTGATTACGGAATAAAAGTGTTTTTGTCTCTCCTGAAAACTTTGGATTGTTGACTAACAACAATTAAATATTTCAGCGGCGCTTTACTATACCAAACGCTGTTGAACAGTTCATGTTTCTAATTGCATTTTTAAATCTTATAGACCGGATATTTTAAAATACTTCGTTTAATAATTAGCAATGATTGAAATTCGTCGTTTTCAAAATGCTTACGAAAACGTTTTTGCATGTGAACTATTTTACACCCGTGATGAGAGGGGAAATTTATTATCTGTATATGAGAGAGTGGCCGCAGGCGATGGATGAAGAAGCATTTGAGATCTTCTGTGGAAAACTGTAAAAGGAATTATTGCTTATCTGAATCTTGTATGGGAAAATTTTGTGATAGCTTTGTCTCGCAGCTCTGTTAAGATTACCTGAAACATTATATTGCATCGCGAGAACAGTTTTGAAATCAGTTTATAAATCGTAATTTATGTACTTCAGTATATCTAATGTATATCTAATTTATATCGAGGGATCCCTTGGCTAAACATTAACATATTTCATGACATCACATGACTTTGATGACCACGTGATGTTATTTATTATTTCTTTTGAAGTGTTTCAATAAATCTTTTCGGCGAAGTCGACTAACACACTCGTTATTAACATTTTGTCATAAAGATAAACTTATAGCAT